AGCTGCTTGTGGGGGAGCAAGGTGGTCCGTGCACAGCGCCGTCACGGGTGCCGCGTTGAACCGGCCGATTTGCAGGAAAGAACGAAGCTCACATAGAACGATGGCGTTGTGTGGAAAGAGCGACACAAAAGAAAAATCACAAACTAGAAAAACAGGAGAGCTTCCAAGCGACAACGACGTCTCGAGACACCGCCAATTCCTCGTTGCAGGACAACAAAGCAAGCGCGCGTGCAGCACAACCTCCAAACGTCGACCTTCAGCCCACCACTCCTCCGACTACAGCCCCTCCCACCAGCAACAATGCCGGTTCCGGTGAACACTGGCATGTCGGGCCCGTCGAACTTCGACAAGTGTACGTTGGGGACCAGGGTAGTGTGTGAGGATACTATCGAGAGAGAGACGCATGCTGACAACTGTTTACAGTCAAGATGGGTGCCATGATGGGCGGCAGTATGTTTTCCCAGCCCACACTCCGCCGGTCTCGACATGCGACCATGTAAGACGTGAAGGAGGCATGCTAATCCGACTTTGTATAGCTGTTGGCTGTATCATTGGCTTCATCTACGGTATGTCAAGACGCTTTTCGGTTGTGCAGGGCAAGCTTTTCTGGAACAGACAGCTAACATGGACGCAGGCACGGTCAACATCTTCCGGTACGGCGCCGGCACGACGGGTATTATGCGCACACTCGGCCAGTACATGGCAGCATCAGGAGCGACTTTTGGGTAGGTGGAAGCGGCGTTTGTAGGCGTCGAATGGATCTCAGTCTGCTGTGCAAAGGCTAACTCGCCAGCTTCTTCATGTCCATCGGCAGCGTCATCCGCAGCGACGCGTCGCCGGTGATGCAGCAGGCATACATGCACGCACGACAAAAACCGTGGATCATGGCGGCCGACGCTGCCTACCGGCCACGGCCAACACGCAGCGAATAAGCGGGTCTGCGAGCTCGACAAACAATACTCGGCGGACGATGCTGGCACGATGAGCCGGCAGCGGACGACACAGAAGACACACCTCTCCATCATGGCACAGACAACCGTGTCGATTTATATACACCATTATCTGACCAACGCCATACCATCTTCTGAACGGCATTCGAAGAGGAGGCTTCTCGTCGCACCTTTGATGCCACTTTTGTATATACACATGTACGTTTGACTCTGGTAGAAGAAAAGGGGGGAAGGGGGAGAAGCATACAAAATGCATGTGGAGGTGAAGACAAAAGACGTACGAACAAAACATCAATGCCGAGGGCATTATGCCTTTCGGCACTTTCCGGTTTCCAAAAATGAAGACAAAGCGCATTCATCACCATTTGAGGACCGTGTTTTGTAAATGTACCCCGCCACAGCGTTGCCAAGGAGTGCCCAGTACGCTGTGTCTTTTACGGCTTGCACGTTGTCGCTTTGCCCTTTGTGCAGCATTCTTCTCCCAACTTGCGTTCGTCTGAACAGTTGACCCGTTGACATTCCCTCGTGTTGTTGTGCTCTCTGCATTGTCCTGTTCTGTACATACAAAAGCGGACGACAATTGGCAGGCAGCCGATGGTGGATACTGGACAGCATGGCATCGACTCGTGGACGATCTATCGGGACACGACGTGCCGTTCCAGTCGGGTCTCTGCAAGAGACCAGTTCCGACTGATGCACGCGCATACTTCTTCGTCGTCCTCTCCAGATGGACTGAATTACGATGTGCTGTGTGTGCAGCAAGGGCGTACAACATATCGTTGTATTATATATATGTGGCCTCTTTGCTGCCTAACGTACATTCTCGGCACTTTCTAGAGCGTATATTCCATGTATCGAAAGTGGTCGGCGATCACGGCCAAAAAATCACTAGACAGGGGGGAAACAAGGTACAGCAATGGTATACATATATGAATGTATAAACGCCCCAACTCATCGATGTTCCACAAGAAATCTGCAGGCCAGCCCAAAAAGCCAGGCTCTTTTCTCCGTGTTGTGCAGCTGTGCCTAGCCCGCCCCGGGATCGAGTGCAGTAAGGGTTACTGGAAGGATCAAGGGATGACATGACGAAAAGAGGACAAAAGAATATGGACGATCAGACCGGGCTCTTTTGCCCCTTGCTGTCTTTCTTTTTTCGTTTCCCTCGTCAACGGCCTATGCACTGTATCATGGAATGGTCGCCCTGTTTGTCTGTTCCTTTTTCTTTTACTTTCGTCGTCTTTCGTTGCAGCAGTCACGTAGATCGAATGAACGACCTTGAGCCGATCATGACCCAAGGTGGGCATACTCTCCATCTCTCAAGAAAACATCACACGAGGAGAAAGAACCGAGCGTGGTCGTTCCTCGTCACTCCTCGTCAGCACTGCCGCAACCTCTACCTTGTTGAGAGTAGTTCCCTGGTACATCTTGTCCTACTGGAGCATTCCTGGGTACGACGGGGCAAGGTCCGATGAATAAAGTGCAAAGAATGTGACGGGGAAAGGGTAAGGACGAAACAAGGACAATACTCACTGGCCAAATCATAGTGGAAGTGGGAAACGACAGCGTGTTTAAGAATAGTCCTTTCTGCCAGTGTTGTCGACATCCTTATCAAGACCGAGGAAATAAATGAGGGTGTAATTATAGACCTTGCATTGAAACATCACTGCAAAGCCTTCAATACATTACCCTCGCTCTCACCGGATTCTTTCATGTTTCCAGGTATCTTTGTACTGTCTTTGCCATTTTTTTCCGAATGTATTTTTAATTATCTCATATTGTCGGGATTTTCCAAATCTCCTCTTGTCTCACGCTCCGTCTTTCTTCTTCGTTTTAATCTTTCTTCCTTTCAGGTTATTTTCTCCGGTTTGCATTGTATACCGTCACTGCGCACTGCGTGGTCACCCAGGTCAGTGCGGCCAGCCATGGCTACATGTCTGTGTATGTCTCGGCTGTCTTGCAGACTGTGCTCGGTGTACTGCAGTTGCAGTTCAAGGACAACTTTTTTTATCGAGATGTTCTACGCTGCCAATGCTCACCAAGCATAAAAGGGAGCCTCAATATATTGTCGTCAGAATTGAATAAAGTAAATATTATTGTCAAGTGTGATTTGCTTTCTTTTTTTAAAAAAAAATTAAAAATTAAAAAAAAAAAAAAAAACACTTTGAATAAAGTGCAAACAAATTTAGAAAAGATTGTTTACTAATAAATATGAAAATCACGCCAATAAAGCCAACACGTCCGTGTAGTCTTACACAAACCGTATTTGGCCCTGCTTGTGTTCCCTTGCCCCCCTCTTCTTTGTTGTTGTTGTCTCAGCTACCCTGTTCCCGAGCTCTTGGTTTCTCTCCGTTGTATTCTCCTACGTGTCTCTCCCTGTGGGTTTTGTTTCTGATTCTATCGGGAGACGGTCACAGTTCTTGGCCAGAGTCCTACTTGTCTTAAATATGTCTGGCTCTGATGCTTGCTTTTGCGTCCTTTTGCATTTTCGGTCAAAAGTCAATATTGCTATATACAAGCACCATCTGCACTCGCCAACTGTCCAGAAAGCAAACCTTACAACAACCCGTAATAAATAATACCCCGGCCTTAAAACTGCTTGTTCTACTCAGGCAGGTAATTCTGTTGAGTTTTCGCTTCGCCCTGGGTCATGCTTCCTGCACCACTTAATTGGTTGAGTAAAATCCTTCGGTTGCGACTTACAGAGCCACTGGCCGTCCTTTTCGTCTCTTTATTTCCGTCATCCCATTTGTTCAGACGACAACGATCCAAACTAGGTCTTGTTGTGTATCACGCCGCCAACGACTAGAAAGGGAGTGAGCGGAACCGGCCAAGAAAATAGATGTAGTTTACAAGGCCACAAATGTCGTGGCGGGCGTTGCTTTCCAGACACTTCTGACAACCACCATGCCCATGTTGTTGATGGCTTTGCAAAACGGGACGCCTCGGTTACAGCACAGGAGGTGCATGTACAGGAACAAGGAAAAAAATAATATAAATGGTAAGTAATTGCTGCACAAAATATCGATTTGTACCACCCATATCCTGGGCATGATCGTCTTACCACTCCTGATTGTCCATTTTGGGTGCAGCTGGGCGTGTGTGAAGGAGCCCAAGGCAAGACAAGACACGGCGCAGGGGGATAACAAGAGAGACAACGACTCACAAATTGTCCGTTCCTGAGAACCAGTACGCCTTAGGGCACTACAAGCAATAATAGTCATGATTAGAAACAATACGTTGACGTTACCATTGTGACGGTATAAAGAGGTAGGTCGGCTAGGCACGTTTCTCTCTCGTCTATGATACCATGGCGTGCCAGCTACTACTCAGCTTCCTTTCTTGTGCGTTGTTGGCTGCTCAACCAGGGAGAGTAAACAGGTGCCCTGACGTCGTACTAGAAGCAAATGAGACAAGAGGCGTCTAGCCTCCATTTTATTTACCGCTGTTTTTTAAATACCATGTCGTTGTTTTGGCCGTTTCTGCAATTCCATACATTCTTCGGTCTTCCGCAGGGGAAGACGCAAGCAAGGACGTTGACCTCTGGGGAACCAATGTGGCGGTGATGGTAGAGGTGATGTGAAGGGACGGTGGGAGAGGGCGTCAGATGGGGCCTTGTTCTACAGCATTTCCAACTTCTCACACATATGGCAAAATGCAGGATACTCGAAATGCCAGCCGAATCTGCGCCCAGGGACTGGCTACCGACACCCTGGCCGCCAGGAGTGAATGATCATTACAATCGAAATAAATAGATAGTAAACAGAAAATGGTACGACCAGATACCCAGTGCCATAGTGCCAAGAAAATATAAAAGAGGCCATCATCGGCCGCATGTCGTTCATGTCTCTACGTTTCGATCCAACCCAGTCTTGCATCTCGCGTTTCTTAGGATTAAGAAAAGGACAAATACAAGGACCATGACCGGACGTGACTGCCTGTTGTTTTAGTTGATTTTTCTCACCCCTATTCTCTCGTTTTATACAAGGTGTTCGCTCATTACATTCGTTTTTTTGTCCTTCTCTTTTTTTTTTTAACCATCCCTCCGACATCATGGGCTGGCATCATCGACTATTTGGGGCCATGCTGCCGGGCCTTGCTGCCGCCACGCTCACCCAGGAGCAGACCAACGGGTATGTGGTGTACCTCTCCCGTCTTTCTGTCTACACTGCCAACACAGCCTCACCTTTATAGAAATTCTGTGCTGGGAACGGCCGCCGCTCCCTACCTTCCCCATTTCCTCACGAACAACCCGCTGCCCCAAGGCTATCCCTGGGGCTCGCTCACGGTCAACGGCACCGACCAGTACACGACGCACCCAAACACGGGCGTGATCCGGTCGTACGACTTTACCATCAGCCGCGGCACGCTCGCGCCCGACGGATATGACAAGTCCATGATCCTGATCAACGGCGGGTTCCCCGGCCCCTTGATCGAGGCCAACTGGGGCGACACGATCCAGGTGACCGTGCACAACAACATCACGGGGCCCGAGGAGGGCACGACGCTGCACTGGCACGGGTTCCTGCAGCAGGGGACGCCGTGGGAGGACGGCGTGCCGGCGGTGTCGCAGTGCCCAATTGCACCCGGGTCGTCGTTCACGTACCAGTTCCAGGCGACGCTGTACGGCACGGCGTGGTACCACTCGCACTACTCGGCGCAGTACGGAGACGGCGTTGTCGGGCCGATTGTCGTCTACGGGCCCAACGCGTATCCGTACGACATCGACGTCGGGCCCATTCTGCTGAGCGGCAAGTCCTCGTTGGCCGGCACACAGTTGGTGTTTGATTGTTGCCCTTTTCGCTAACCCTCTCCCCGCCCTGCAGATTACTACCATACCGACTACCTCACCATCTTGGAGAGGATGCTCGCGCCCGGCGGCAAGCCCCAGGTGCCGTCGGACAACAACCTGATCCAGGGCAAGAACAGCTTCGACTGCGCGACCGTCGACAGCGCCGACCACACCGCCTGCGTGTCCGACGCGCCCAAGGCCGAATTCTTCTTTGAGCCCGGCAAGGTGCACCGCCTGCGCCTCATCAACTCGGGCAGCGAGGGCGTCCAGCACTTTAGCATCGACGACCACATGCTGACGGTGATTGCCTACGATTTCATTCCCATGGAGGCGTACCAGGCCAAAGTGGTGACGGTGGGCGTGGGCCAGCGCGCCGACGTGCTGGTCACGGCCAATGCCGCGACGGGCCGCAACGCCAGCACCGCCTCGTTCTGGATGCGCAGCAACCTGGCCCTGTGCGCGACGGCCAAGCAGCCGTACGCCTTGGCGGCCGTGTACTACAGCAGTCCGGCCACCGCGTCGTCAGGGTCGACCGCGACGCCGCCGGGCGCCAGCAAACTTGACATAGGTCTTGGTGGGGCGGCGAGTCTCCCTGGTGTTGGCTCCGTTGTCGGCTCCGGTGTCGGCTCCGTTGTCGGCTCCGGTGTCGAAATCGGATCCGGCGGTCTTGGCGTGAGCTCGTATGGCGGCGGTGTCGGCGACGAGGGCAGCTCTCAGCCGAGTAAGCCCAAGCCAACGACCAACAGCCCCAAGCCCAAGCCCAAGCCCAAGCCTGAGCCCACCTCCCGGCCCTGGGCGGTCGGGTCGGTCGGCGTGCCCGACCCGCGGTCGTGCACCAACGACGACCTGGCGCTCACGCGCCCGCTGTACCCCATTGCGCTGCCGCCACCCAGCTGGACGCACACGTTTGACATTGGCGTCTTTGTCAACGCCTCCAACGTGACGCTGTGGAAGTTTGACGGCGTCAGCTTCCGCGGCGACTACAACGCGCCCACGCTGCTGCTCGCCAGCCTCGGCAACGCCAGCACCGCCGACTGGCCCGTCGAGTGGAACGGCCGCAACCTGTACACCAACTCCTCGGTGCGCATGATTGTCAACAACCCGGGGCCCTCGCAGCACCCCATGCACCTGCACGGCAGCAACTTTTACGTGCTGCACGAGGGCCCCGGCCCCTGGGACGGGCGCTCCATCGTCCACCCGGAGAACCCCATGCGCCGCGACGTGCAGCTGGTCCGGCCCAACGGCCACCTGGTGCTGCAGTTCGATACCACCAACCCGGGCGTCTGGCCGTTCCACTGCCACATTGCGTGGCACGCGTCGGGCGGGTTCCTGGAGCAGTTTATTGTGCAGCCGGAGAAGATTGAGGCGATGAGCGTGCCGAGCATCATGGCGCAGACGTGCCGTGACTGGGCGGCCTGGACGGGCACGCATATTCCGGACCAGATCGACAGCGGTCTGTAGGTGGGCGACGAGGGTGATGTGTGGTGACGTGACTTTCTTGGGGATGCCGATGTCGAAGTCGAGGAGAGATGAGGACCAGAGGGTAGGTAGGGTGTCGATTACCCAAAATGTATTTTAATCCTTTTCTTTTGTTTTATGTATTCAAACAGACCCTTCATCCCCACCTGGTCCAATTCCTTTCATATTTTCTTTCCTTCTCTTACTCTGTTCTCTATATACACTTTACACTTTTCGTTCGCCAGGAAATGCTGGGTGACCAAACACCGAGAGGACATGTCTCTAGATCCTCTCTCTATTCAAAGGGATCAAAAATCGATAAGAAAAAAAAGGAGTGCACAAAAGGCACAAAATGCATAACAATATAAAACCACACCTCATCAACCACCTCTCTACCTCCTCTCACCCCTCATAATGATGCCTCCTTCAGGAACCACCGGTTCTCGACCTTCCGCATCAGCTTGTTTGTCTGCTCTGCCAAGCTCAGCGTCAGGATCGTGTGCGGCAATATCCGCGCCAGGTGCGGCAGGAAGCCCTTGTAGATGGCAAAGAAGCCCTCCGTCTTGACCGTCTTGGCCAGGCAGTCAAACACGCCCTTGTACAGGTTGCCGTTTTGGTTGTACATGCGCGACATGATGGTGTCTGGCGGGTGCATGAAGACGCACACCACAAACCCGCTCGCCGTGCTGCTCGCCAGGTGCAGCGCGGGGCCCTCCTGGACGCCCAGGTGGTGCTGCAGCCGCCGCTTGGCGAAAAAGTACGTCGGCAGCTGCACGGAGCTGCCGAAACCTGTGCGGATGCACGCCGCGCCCACGCCACGGTACAGGCCCAGCAGGCCCTCGGCGCGGTAGATCTGCTTCATGCCGTCCCAGGCGTTGCGGTACTCGTGCTGCGTGCCCACGGGCAGCAGCGGGGAGTAGCTCTGCAGGCGCGTCTTCACCAGGAAAAAGGGGCTGCCGGCGGCCGCGCCGATGACGCCCGAGCCGGCGCCGCAAAACATGTTGATGGGCAGGCTCTGCACGGAGTTGTTGCCGTACAGCACGCCCGTCAGGCCCTGGCGCATGGGCTCGTAGAAGCCGAGGCGGCAGCCGTTGAGCAGCACCTGGTAGATGTAGGCGCAGCCGAGACCGCGGTAGATGCCGCGCAGGCCCTCGTTGCGCACAATGACGGACACGCCGTGCAGCGGGCCGCGGTAGTGGTGCGGCTGGTGGCCCTTGGCCTGCAGCTCGCCCTGGAGCTGCATGCGGATCTTGACCGTCTCAAAGGGATGCGTGGCCGTCACGGCGCCGCACGCGGCTATGCCGCCGGCAATGAAGGCGCTGCGAAGACGAGGTCAGCAATGTAAGAGGGACGAATGAACGCAACTCAAGAGGGAGCAGAGAGGCATGACCTACCCAGATGTTGTTGACATCGTGCGCTGTTTCTTGTGGCTGGTGACTCGGTCAGAAGAGCAGACGGCGCCCTCTCAATGTCGGCCGCTTCGTTGTCGTCGCCAAGTATGCTTGCGGACTGTGCTCCTGTGGTCTGGGTCTTGGTCGGCCGAAGCGGTCTGTGAATGGGAGGTTGTTGTAAATCGTAAATCGTAAGCCGGAGTCGCACTTCGCAAAAACAAGCACCCCGGCGGAGTCCGCGAACCCGTCCAACTTTCTACAGAAGGAAAGCGTGGGACCGCTTATATGTGTGGAGGAGCGGATAGCCAAGGGTCGCGTAAGCTTGGGGCCAGTTGTGAACGTTGAGAGGCGTTGTCTCTTCAACTCTCGTTATTTATGTCGTCTCGTATAAATCGGTCAAGTGAACCTACGGAGTCAAAAGTACTCTGTAAGCTGACTGTACCTGCCTTATGCCGCCCTTGTGTAGAGGTTGAGGGATATGTGGAAGGCGCGGCCCAAGGCGCAATTTTCTAAGGACGACTCAATCGGGCCCGGTTCTTTAGGGATGTATTTTTTTTCCACAATACCGGGTTGCTCTTACCTCGCTAGGTTATTGACGGAGTGTGGCTGCTAAGGCTGTTCCTGCCTTTTTCTGCCGCTTTACACGCGCCTGCCCAGCGCACTGGAAATTTTTATCCACAGGGCAGGTGCTGGCTGGCTTCTCTCGGCTGCTTGTGCCAATGCCGTAACCCGCGTCTGGCCCGCAGCCCCAAGCGGCTTCCATAGCGAAAGTCGGAGCGAGCCCAAACTCCCACAAAGCCATGACAATCCGGTGTGTGGGGCGCACCGCGAATGTGGTTTAGCGCCTTCTGGGCCTAACGTTGCGGATATTCTGCCAAGGTCCCCCGCCAAAATAATTCTTTGGGGAAGAACCAGCGAAAGGCTGACCAGCTCTCCCTGGGAAGCTCCGTCCAATTGGCCTCTCCAGCATTTGCCATTGACACTATTTCGGAACAAGCTTTCGTCGCATCTTCTCTGCGAGAGCCTCCGCCCGCCTCGGCCGTCTATCCGCACCTTCGCGGCCCTGCTGATAGAGACGAGCTTAGACTTTCTCTCCGCTACGCTCCGTACAGAGCTCTGCGTCCATCCTGCGTGCCCCGTGCCATTGTCCCTTCTCGACCGATCTTCTCGTCCTCCTCACGCGACTCTGCTCTCACGCGTCTTCTCCATGCCTGCCGTTCCCATGGACATTGACACGCCGGCAGCGGGTGCTGCCGGGCCCTCGCTGAGTGTATCACGGGCCCTGCGCGACACTGCCACCGAGCTGAGCTCCATCATCTCCAGCTTCCGGCCGACAAAGCTGTTTGCGCGCGACGCTAAGGACAAGTCGCCCACCTACATCTTGTCGCTCGACTTTGACGACCCGGGCGAGTTGTGCATGACCTCGGAGAGCGACGACACCATCCAAATCTACAACGTCAAGGGGGGGCGCCACGACAAGGCTCTGATTAGCAAAAAGTACGGCGCGAAGCTGGCGCGGTTTACGCACTGGTCGAACAGCATCGTGTACGCCAGTACAAAACAAAACGGTGAGCAGGCGCCGCCCCAATCTATTGCAACAATGTCTTGCCACTAACCATGGTCCCTGCCCGTACGAACCAGACTCCATCCGCTACCTTGCCACCCACGACAACTCGTTTATCCGCTACTTTGAAGGCCACGAGGCCTCGGTCACCTCCATCTCCATGCACCCGGGCACCGACAACTTTGTGTCTACCAGCCAGGACGGCACCGTCCGCCTCTGGAACGTCGCTAGCAAACAATGGACCGGCCTCCTCTACCTCAACAAACCGTACTTGTCCGCCTGGGACCCGTCGGGCAACGTCTTTGCCGTCGCCTCGCCTGCTGCAGGCACCGTTCTCCTCTACGACCACCGCAACTACCAAAAACCGCCATTTTCCGTTTTCGACGTCGTCGAGCAATGTGCTGCCGTCGACCAGCGCAACCTACTGCAAGGGTGGACCAAGCTCGACATATCCAACGACGGCAAGCACATTCTCGTCGGCACGCGCGGTGCCGGCCATTTCTTATTGGACGCCTTTGATGGCAAGCTCAAGGCGTTCTTGCGCAAGACGGACGAGCCAACGCGACGTGCAGCCGCCGGCGAGGGCGGTGACGTGCCGAGTGCGTCGGGCGCACCAGCCGACCCCACGCGGCTTGAGGGCAGCGGTGACTGTTGCTTCACGCCAGACGGCCGTTATGTGCTTGGTGGTACGAAGCAAAATGTCATGGTGTGGGACACGCTGGGGTCCGTCGGCGAGAACAAGGTCCTAAATCCAGCCTTTGTGCTGGAGGACAAGCGGGAAGCGGCGGTCGTGGCGTTCAACCCGCGCTTCAACTTCTTTGCAACGGCCGACCAGGCGCTGGTGTTTTGGCTGCCGGACGCCAATGCATGAGGAACGAGGCACGACTCGAAGCGATGGGATAAGTCTATATAAAAGCAGCACAGCGAGATACCCGGGGCACTGACCGAACCGAGGTGGCGGGCGCCATGTGCCGCGCCAGATGAGCGGGAACAGGCAGACTGACCGCGCATCAACGCATCCACAAAGCTTTGCCTCCTCATGGCACAGTATCGCGAGACATCACGTTCCCGTAATACTACAGAACGTAGATTCACTGCACAAACAACATGCTATGCAGTTCTGCGGCGCCAACATCTATGCGGTGACGCCCCCGGATGTGCTTCGCAGCGGACTGGTGACTCGTTGAGAAGGGTCACCATTTCATACGTCTCTGCCTCTTCCAACTACACGCAAGGTCTGCGGCAGAGTTTCTACATGAATAATGATAAATATTGTTCGTCGACTTTACAAAACAATAAGAATGTGCGTGTATATAATCATGACATCTGCTTTGATTGAGTTTATCCCGCATAGATGCATGCAAACATCTCATGCATATATGCAGATTCTGTTTTTATGGGTACTTCGGTTTTCGTGAGAGCTAGCGCAAGTTGGTACCTTCTGGACAACCATTTGGTGGGGTAGCACAAACCCAGACGAACCAAAATTCTTGACACTGCGTTTAACGACGGACGAACTAACTGTACGCAACAACACACGACACACGGCACGCGAGTCAACCCATCTGCACGTCCACCACACCCACACCTCGACCCATCTCGTCCATTCTCACATTTGACGACAGAGAGTACCCTATCGGGCACTCGACGGCGCACCGCCATCCCCTTTCACCCATACTCTCTCTCCCCTTTCGATCTTCCTCCTTCAGCATCACAATGGCCACCTTCGCAACCAGCCAGCAATGGCTCCACCAGAGCTCGCTTCTCTTGGAAGCCCGCCCGCACACAGTAAGTCGCTGCAGGAGGAGCAATGAGCAGCAAAGAGTAACAAAGAGGAACGACGATCCGTGGACGTGTATCGCTAACGCGTCGAGACAAAAATTACCTGTCGCTACTCGGTCAAGCCCAAGCCGGCGCGCCGCGTCAAGAAGGCCAAGGACGGCGAGGCCCTGCCGGATGCGCCGCCAGCCGCCACGAACGCGGTCGGCCAGAACCCCCGCGCCAAGCTGGTGCTCAAGACCGTCGACCCGGCCAGCGGCGTGTGCCTCAAGTACGAGACGACCAAGGCGGCCGAAGTGTCGCGGCTGGTGCAGCTGCTTGGGCAGCTGAGCCGGCGCCAGGCGGGGCTGGTGGCGGGGACTGCCTCAGCCGAGGAGCAGGCGGACGATGTGGCCATGGCAGAGGCAGCGGCCACAGCAGCGGACGAGTCGGGCGCAGCACCGTCGCCCGCACCGACGCCGGCGCCAGCACAACAACAACAAGGCGGCGGTGGCGGCGGTGGCGTCAAGGGCAAAAAGAAGAAGGGCAAGCGGTAGGGGAGGTTTTAAAAGATAGGAGCGATTGTGGACGAGGGGAATGGACGCCATTCGCTTGGGTCAGTTTTAAAAGAACAACATTGGGCACTCACACGAACATATCGTGAGAGGTTTACGATACAAAAGTACAATAAAAGTTTACGACTTCACGTGGCTATGCAGATGAAGGAGAAGTCCATTGTGAACAGCGTCTTTTAACAATCAAGTGGGGTGTGTATGCATCTAGTAGCATTACATGGCTTTGTATAAGAAACCGTATGTCTTTTTGTTAATCCGTCAACCGCGTTGCTACAAATGAAAGAAGATATAAAAAAAGAAGAGGAGACAAACCATAAAGCATAACAGTCGGTGCCGTAAAACGACGCAACAGATCCGATCATTCCAAGTAACGCCGCTATGTAACAACCAAAAAGAAGAAGAATCGGTAGGCAAGAGTGGTGACGTGTAGAAACAAAACAAAACTCTTTCTCTACCTCTTCTTAGGAGACCCAGCAAATTCCAAAAAAGCCAAGCCACATAAAAACAAAGGAAATTAATGTTGAAGTCGAAAATGCCTCTCCAGTGGGTATGCTGACGTTATGTACGGAGGAGAGGATAAGGATGGGAAGGTATCAAACAGCGAGGCAGGAGGAAAGGGACAGAGCGACGCGACGATCCGTTTAGAACTCGTCGTCAAATGTAAAGTCGCCCTCGCCCTTGCCCAGGCTGCTCTCGCCTTCCTCCTTCTTGGCGCTGTTGGCCATGACACCAGCCTTCTGGTACTCGCCGACGCGCTTCTCGAAGAAGTTGGTCTTGCCGCCCAGGGAGATGTTCTCCATAAAGTCGAACGGGTTGGTGGCGCGGTACACCTTGTCGTTGCCGAGGGCGACCAGCAGGCGGTCGGCGACGAACTCAATGTACTGCTTCATCAGCGTGGAGTTCATGCCCAGCAGGGCACAGGGCAGCGCCTCGGTCAGGAACTCCTGCTCGATCTTGACGGCATCGACAATGATGTCCTCAATGACCTGCTTGCTGGGGCGGTTTTTCAGGTGAGAGAACAGCAGGCAGGCAAAGTCGGTGTGCAGGCCCTCGTCGCGCGAGATCAGCTCGTTGGAGAAGGTCAGGCCGGGCATCAGGCCGCGCTTCTTCAGCCAGAAGATGGAGGAGAAAGCACCGCTGAAGAAGATACCCTCGACGGCAGCGAAAGCAACCAGACGCTGGGCGAAGGTGGACTGCTCATCGGAGATCCACTTCAGAGCCCAGTCGGCCTTCTTGCGGATACAGGGAACTGGAGAATGTTAACACAGGGACAGGCCAAGTTGTGAAGGGAACACGACGGAGCAACATACTGGTGTCAATGGCGTTGAAGAGGTAGGTGCGGCGGGCGGGATCCTTGATGTAGGTGTCAATCAGGAGGGAGTAGGTCTCGGAGTGGATGTTCTCCATCATGATCTGGAAGCCGTAGAAGCAGCGGGCCTCGGGGACCTGGACCTCGCCGCTGAAGCGCTCGACGAGGTTCTCGTTGACAATGCCGTCAGAGGCGGCGAAGAACGCCAGAATGTGGGAGACAAAATAGCGTTCGTCCTCGTTCATGCGGTTGTTCCAGTCGTGCAGGTCCTTGGACAGATCAATCTCCTCGGCGGTCCAGAAGGAGGCCTCGGCTTTCTTGTACATCTGCCAGATCTTTTGAATTGTTAGATGATGTTGGACATTGTATGTGGATGGGAAACACTTGGCGAAACATTCGTCGTTGGATCACTTTACGCGTCGAGGTGTCGTGACACGAAACGACGCGTAACGTGACAAACTCCAAGTTTTCGCGATGTCACTCACCTCGTGGTACTTGATGGGGAACAGCACAAAGCGCTGGGGGTTCTCCTGCAGGAGTGGCTCGTCGGCCTCGCTGGGCTTGATGGTAGGGGCAACAGCCTTCTTGGTCTCCTCCGCCTTGACCTCCTCCTTCACCAGCTCCTTGGGCTTCGCATCCTCGGCGAGGATGTTCTCCTTGTTTGCATCGCCAAAGTCCAGCTTCTTGACGGGCGACTCGATCTTGAAAGACTCGATGGCAGAGGCAGCCTGTGGCAGAGGGAACGCGTTAGTAGGAGGACGTTGAAAGGGTCGGGTGAAAAGACGCGACGCGACATACAGCCTTGGACGGGGTCACGTTGGTGGCCATTGTGAATGTGTGAGAGAACGAAAGTGATGCAAGAGAAACAATGAAGCGATGAATGCAATGCCAAAGAACCGAGTTGCTGTTCAAAGTTGGAGATGGGGGAAAAGAAAGAGTGAATTGGTTGAGGTTGAAGGGAAACAAAGAAACGAGAGAAGCAAGAAAACAGAAGGCGAAAAAATTAGGCTGGCGCTGGATTGTTTTAAGTAGACCAGCAAGGAAACCGCGGAACGCCAGGTCAGATGGGGGGTGTTAGCGCCAAAATACTGGAGAGGCGGACAAGCAAGACGCGACGCGTCTCGTTGGTGATGGTTCACCGTGCACCGACCACAGAACGCCGCCTCCCCATTAAACACGGGCGCAACAAAAGCTACGACACACTCGTTTTCGATGGCTGAAGGTCCCACCGCCCACTCACACCCATGTCCCCATCCACTTTTGTTTTCTCCAGACGCGGCTCGCTGCGACTCGCGTTTATGAAGCTCTAGAGCTACTCATTTTTTAATTTTGCAAAGAACGATTTCGATGGGACGTAGCCACTCTCAACAGCCCTAATACTGTGTACGGTGCCATGTACGTCGTATGCTCGGCCGTGTCACTCCTGAAATTGTAGAGGCAAAGGATGTGCAACAAAGGGATGCGAAGCACGCAAAGGGACAGCGCGTAGAGCGTTGTTTTTGGTAGCGATGGACGGCTGCACCTATCACCGAGGATTTATGACGGCGAACGGCGCGACGATCCACGACAGCTTGGCAGCTTGGAGCTGCGACGCTTTCCATGTCAGGTAAATTCGGTAGAGTCACTGCATATCCAAGCCAATCGATATCGCCGAGATCTTTGTTTTTCTATTTCCCTTGTCATTGAATTCCTGGTCGGCAGACTGCCGCGTGAACAAGCAAAGTTGGATTTGTGCGTGTTAAAGTGACAAGCAACAGCGTATTTTCACCTAGCGCCCTTGGTGCCATTAAGATCGTTAAGCCAAGGGCGATTCCACTCTACGCGAGAATGGGATCTTGGCTGAGGCCTTATGTGTTTTGGCGAGCTCGGCTGGTAAGTGGCTCCTCCCTTCGTTGCACGCGAGCTGGTCTCCATCTAACCTCTCAATTATCCCTGGCGTTACTTGCGTTGACTTGCGCCTGTTTCTGTAAGATATGTCCCACCCTACTTCGTACCAGTTCCTGTTCTTGGGTGTCAATTGCTCCGCGCAGTTTATCCACGCAAGTTGTACTGAATGTGCAGACAAAAAACGACGCCTCGCACGTATGGGGCAGACGCGTGAGTCTTATCAGATCCATCGGAACTGGTTTGACCTGGTTATCGCCTGTTTGCTGTTTTGCCTGGATTTTGCCAGGACTTCGCGAGTTGCCCCAACCTGGCCCGAATATCCGCTGTCGAGGTCACCGTTTATCAGATCAAAGGAGGAAGTAATTACACGACGTGATCCACGTCCGGCTAAGGTGTCTTGTTTGTCATTCGTCGAACACTGGCTCCATTCACTCCGCACATTTCTGGATACCTCTTGACTCATGCTGACTATCGTATAATCTATCTAGCTGTCCGCCTGGACGGTCGTATTTATCATCCATTACATGTACAGCGTGGCTGTTCTTTTGTTGCTTTAAATCTTTGGTCGCCGAATTAGTACATTCCCCATTCTACACCACATCTCCCAAGACGCCGAAAAATGCAAAAGGATATACGGCAATATAACGAAAAAAAAAAAAAAGAACGACAAAGTAAACAAGACCCATCGCACAATGCATCTCCGAGGGGAAAAAATAGGCCGCCACGGCGTCGCTGCCTGGTATCTTCGTCTGAGCCCGCGTCGTGACCGGCATGTGTCGGCATCTGTGGCTATTTTAGGCATCTCCCAATATGTCTTAAACACGCACTTCAATGCTGCTTGGGAGGGAAGCATTTCACCGCCACGGCATCTGGCAACTTCGCGTCCTACGCTCGGCCGCCATACGCCAGATCGCTCGGCTGTCTACCCTGCGCACCTTCGACGACGGCCATCTCTTGGTCGGGCTGCTCGTCTTGCGGCGCCGAGCGGCCCCACGATGACCAGAAGCTCTTCTTGGGAGCAGGCCGCTCGGGGTCCGCACCGGCACCGGCACCGGCACCAGCAGCAGGACCAGGGTTTGGGAGAGGCCGGCCGTCGCCAAGGCGCTGCTGCTGGTTGTTCTGGTTGTCCCTTTGCGCCTTTTCTTGGCGGAGCCTCTGTTCTGTCTCTGCTTTCTTGATCAGGTACTCCTCGAGAACCCAGGCGTTGCGGGTGTTGGCGCGAAACATGGCGTCGACGACGTCGCCGACAAAGGGGACGAGCCCGATGCCAAAGTCGAGCATAATGTTAAAGTACATGCGGGCTTGGAGCGCGGGAGGCAGGCCGCCGTCGATTTTGGCGCAGGACGTAACGACAGAGTACGCCAGTAAAAGGTCAATGACATCGCCAACCCTACAGAACGATAATCGTTAGCAAGCATTGTCGTTGGCAGTTGCGGGTGTCGGCTTTGTGTAACATGTCGCACGCGTCCCTCGCGTCCCACGCGTTGTGCACCAATTCGGTGTTAAGCCAAAATGACGTCAACGAATCCGGATACGGATACCACAGCCGCCTTACGGAGGGCCAGGGAGAAAAAGGAGGGAGATGCAGACTGCGCCAGGAGAGCAAAACTTACACAGGAATGAAGCCAATGACACTGCCCCAGCCAAAGCGAATCCCGCAGCAGTTGAAGAGCGACATGTCCAGGCGGTAGGCCTGTCTGCGCACCCTCTTCAGCACCTTGCCGTCGTTGTGCGAAAGGATGGCTGGGATGCCCTTCTTCTGTTTCTTGACACGGCCCGTGGGCCGACCATCGCGGCCGTAGATGGCGACTTCTTCAAAGAAAGGGTCCTAACGGTGTCAGTATGTATCGCGTGACTCGGATGAGGGTCGAGCGGCGCGAGGGGGACGACGGCGTACCTTGGAGTTGATGTTCTTCTTCGCCGCGTCTTTGAGGGCGCGCTTGGCGACCATATTGAAAAGTTGCGCAGACATATTTGCAGATTTTTGTCGAGTTGAGGAGTTCCAAGTGTTTGAGCAGAGGGATACCCGAGAGTGGAAACGAAAAGAGGCAGTCGCGCGATGATATACAAAGTCGCAAAGGTCTCTGGCGGAAGCAGGGTGCTATTTTCAGCTCCTTCAATGGACGGCCAATTGCTTTGTTCGCCACTGAAAACTGCCGGATCCGTTGCTGTGCTGCGGTGGTAGCCGCTGGGAGCTGGATTGGTGGGCGTGTGTTGTCGCTGGTTTCAGAAAGCGCCGCGTTGGAGGAACCAAAGGCTATTTTCGTCGTCGGCCAGTCGCTAGGGGCGGTTGTTGGTCGATGTAAGAGTATGTGAGAAAGATGAAAGAAAAGGAAAAAAGGAAGAGATCTGACGAAGCTTGAATGGGGAATCAATTGTGGTCCTTCCTTATTAAGTTGTCTCGTTCATCAGGTACGGAGTATGGAGTATTGTTTCGCTCTTGCCTTCTATGACGCCAACTTTATTTCCGCTACACTTGGCGCCACAAGTGTGTTGCAGGCCTCTTTCCTTGTTGAGACATGGGAGGCCTGGACTGCACCTTTCCTTGTGCAGGCCGAGCATGTGCCTGACGTAACGACCAGGAGGGAAACCACGCTAAGCATGCAGTGGCTGAAGCTGCTGTCTACCAAACTTGCACCAAGAAGTCGGATTTGATGCTGGTTTATTCAATGCAGCTGTCAATCGACGTCTGTTGGGGCATTGGAGAACGGCACTTGTCTGATTTCAAATGTCAACACGGTCTGTCTCAATGTAACTGGTTCGTCCCGCATTTTTTGTTCAGCCTCGCCGACCGGCCGGCCTTGTCATAGCAAAGCCTTCATAACCTCGATAAAAGGGCACCCTTTTAGCCTCGGTAGATGTAGATAGGATTGCCAAAGCTACCTAAACTTTGTGATAGTATGTAACCTGTCGAGCCTCCCAATGTTCTAGGACATGCACGCTGGGCCGTTTGTGTCGGCTTGCGATCATGAAAGTCACATGACTAGACTGAGGGAGCCACTTGGGTTGTACTTGCTTTTTGGAGCTTAGTGCCACATCAGGTACCGTTCTGTACCTATTCTGCGCCTGCGTGCACAGCATCTTGCCGACAGCTCCTTCTTGCCCAAAGGCTTGCCCCTGCCGCTTACGCAATTACTGTAACCAGCCCTCTGCCGTTGCCTTGCCCAACTGGAGCCGTAGCCTGACCCCACGTATGCATCTAGTCCATGCCGCCCTGCGCCTCCAATCTTTTGCCTTCGGTCTTTTCCAACCTCCGCCGTTGATCTCTCCTCTCCCAATCCGCAACCCAGCACAACACGTCTGCGCCTGCATAGCCGTGCGCCACCCAATCACAGTGCCCGATACATATCTGTCGTGATAGGTGCCACCTGCTGCCCATCCGCGATATTGCGATCCTGCCCCAGCACTTCATTCTCGCAAAATCCACTCGACGACGCTGCAGCCTCTACTCTCCTCTTCTCTAGCAAACGGCCCTGGCCCAACGCCCTGTCTTTCACCAGACGCACAAGCCTTGTGTGGCCCCTCCGATTTGCATACCACGGCGAGCTTCTCCGCCAGCGAGCCTGGCTGACAGTGTCCTGCGTTTCCCCCGCCGCCGATTCGTGACCTGCTACCCAAACAAGCAACGTTGGGCCGAAGCTGTTCATTCCATCGAATTCGCTCAATTCTCGCGAGTTTGCGCTTCGCCCGCGTTGCGTTGCTCTCCTTGGCCCATCAGGCGATCTGACGGCTGTCCTCGGCCTCCTCCTACACCCTCACGTCTCCTCCTTCGCAGCCTGGCTATGCTGTTGCCGTGTCGCCATCATGACTTCACAAAAGATGACACTCGACGATTGTACGTTTCTTGTGCTTGCTATGGCAATCCTGTACACCCCTTCATGACACCTGCTGACCTCTCCAGGGCTGGACGACCTGTGCGTCCGCTTCATCAACAACCTGCCCCAAGCAGACCTGACGTCTATGGCACGAATATGTTTTCAGGTCGAAGAAGCCCACTGGTTTTACGATGATTTCATCCGCCCCCTCGACCGCTCCCTCCCGGCCATGACCCTACGCACCTTCTGCCTCTCCATCTTCAAGCGGTGTCCGCTGCTTGCACCGTTTCCGATCGAGCACCACGTGCTGGCATTTGAGCAGTTCCTCAAGTACAAGACGAGCATTCCCGTTCGCGGCGCCATCCTGCTCAACGAGACCATGGACATGGCACTGCTCGTCAAGGGTTGGAAGAAGGGCGCCAACTGGAGCTTCCCCAAGGGCAAGATCAACATGGACGAGGACGACTTGGACTGCGCCGTCCGCGAGGTCGACGAAGAGACCGGCTTTGACATCCGCTCAGCCGGCCTCGTGCCGCCTCCCGAGGAGGTCAAGTTCATCGACACCTCCTTCCGCGACCAGCAGATCCGGTTGTACGTGTTCCGCAACGTGCCCATGGACACCCATTTCGAGCCCAAGACCCGCAAGGAGATTGGCGGCATTCAGTGGTATAAGATTGCGGACCTGCCGAGCTATCGAAAGAAGAACAATGCGAATGGCCATGAAACCGACGAGCCCACATCCGCGACCTCCAACCGCTTCTACATGGTGGCGCCCTTCATTGGGCCGCTTCGGAAGTGGATCGCCTTCCAGCGGAAGAGGGATGCTGCGCGCGCCGCCGGCAACAACTACCTGACGCCGCAAATGGCCCACGCCGAGGACACCTACACGGAAGACGAAGGCAATGCACTGCCCGAACCCGTCACCCAGGACACGCTTAGCGGTATTGCCGATCCCAACCAGATTCTGGAAAACGCAAATAGGGAATTGCGGCAGATGCTTCGTATGCCGCCGCTGCCGTCCGACGAAGCGCCGCCTGTGCAGGCACCGGCTCCTGTTCATCCGCCGCCGGTGCAGGATGCGTTTGTGGACCCCAACCAAAACAAGGCCAATGCACTGCTTGCCGTCTTAAAGCAGGGCGGCACCATCAACGCCCCTCCGCCGCTAGCACCGGCGCCGGCACCGGGTGACGGCCAGGGTATTTCTCTCAACCATCTCCTGAGCCAGGTGTCCCAGCCGCAGTCCAACGCGCCACGAGCACAACACCACCAGCAATACGAGCACCAACTGCCTCCGTACCCGCACTCAGCAGCAGCAGCAGCAGCAGCAGCAGCAGCAGCAGTACCAACAACCCCCGCCCCAACACCAGATTCCTCAGCTAGGTCCGCCACCAATGCAAGGTCAGCAGCCTTCGCCAGGATACCCTCAATACGATGCACCTCGTCCGAACCTGCAGCAGCAACGGCAACAGCAACAGCAACACCTTACCCATGCTCAACAGCTTGCACAGCAAAACCAGCACTTGCAGCAACGTTTTGAGCTGCAGAAGCCGCACCAGGGCCAGCAGCACCAACAGTCCTCGCAAAATTACCCCTACGCGCAACAGCCTCCCCAGCAAAGCCAGAACATGAATCCCTTCGCACCAAACCCGCAGGTTCCCCCTCCACCTCCGTATACGGCAAACGGCAACGACATGCAAGGGCCGGCGCAGGCTTTTGCCCAAGCACAAGCCGCGGCTGCGGCGTTCCGGTCCCCACAGCATGCTCCGCCACCGATCCCACTCCTTCATCCTCAGCCACTTCCGCCCGTTGTCCAGAAGGCACTGTTTGCTAGGGACATGCTAGCGTCTCCAGACGCATCGTCGCAGCAGGGCAACAGCATGCTGCTTCCGCCGCCGCCGCCGCCGCAGCAGCAGTACCGCGGCCAGCAGGCCCCTTTGAGCAACCATGCCGCTGCTCTGCTAAACGCGTTCAAAAAAGACGACAGTACTACCCGTCCAGGTGGCGCAAGTGGTGGTCCCCAGGAAACCGCTGGCGGTCCTGGCTGGCCACAACAGGAGCCCCAGCAACAGCCGCAACAGCAGCAGCAGCAGCAACAGCAGCAACAGCAACAGCCCCGCCACGCGTCTCATGCCGTTCCGCAACAGCAGACTCAGCAGCCGCAACAGCCATACGCGCCTCTCCAGCACAACCTCCACGGCGGCCGTCCCCAGCCGGCGTCGCAACACCCGTACGGTTCACTCCAGGCCGGAGCGGTTCCAGCAGCCCAGAACACCAATCAAGGCGCACCCAACCCTCCGAGCGGCAACAACGACAATTTTAATCAGTACCTGCCTCGCCCTGCTGCGGCCAACAACGGCCCGCAAGACCAGCCGCCTGTCCGCACCCAGCACTCCGATCAGCACAGGTCGTCCCTGCTTAGCATGTTCACGAAGCAAACTACGCAGCCGGTACCTCAGGCCGCAGCACCGATCCATGTCCCTGCGTCCGGCTCTCCGGCATCGGCACCCGCGCCGCCACAGCATGCCACTTTGGGCCACAATGCGAGAACCAGGCAGTCGGCCGGCGGCCCGCAAGGTGTCACAGCCCAGCGGACCGTGTACTCGGCGACGACAATCTCCACGACACAAAGTCAGCAGGGTGCTGCTCTGGGCCAAGGCCAAGGCCAAGGCCAAGGCCAAGGCCAAAGCCAGGCCCAGGCAATTGAGGCGGCAGCGCGTGCCAATGGCGGTCCGATCGAGATGAATGCCCAGACCAACCTGCCGTTCGGTGCTTTGACACTTCTGACACGGCCCAAAGCCCAGCAGAACAGCAGCCCCAGTCACAGCGGCATAAATGCACATGCGACCAGGACAGACCGTTCACAACAGCATCCCTCGACGTTCGCGTCGCCGATTACCGAACTGCCGGCCGAGACCACGCAACTCCGCAAACAGCCCAGCCTCCCACGCCAGGTGAGCCAGCCGTACTCTACATCGCCTAGCGACAGACGGCCCTCCACACGCGGCTCGCAGCCTCCTTACAACACCGCTGCAGTCGCGCCCGCCGTGGCAGCCACCCTGCCGCCGCACAGTACGGTCGTGCGGCGCCCTAGTCATGCGTCGTCGTCGCCCACCGCGGCGGCGCCCGGAGACCAATACCAGCCGCCGCAGCCACACCCGCTCCCCACACTCAACTACCCGTCTACGAACGCTGCTACAGGCGGCGCCAGCGTGCGAGCGCCTGAGCCGGCAAACCCCGAGCACAAGCAGAAGCTGCTGTCGCTGTTTGCTGCGAAGCAGCCACCGCCGCAGCCGCCTGCTATGTCCGCCACCTCTGCTGCCAGCATTGCCGGTGCCGGTCTCCACCCCATAGGCATGCACACGCCGCAACATCTTCCGCCGCCGCATCCTCATGCTCAGCAGCAGCACGCCCCCCTCGGCCCTTATGAAGCTGCAGACTCGGCACCAGCCATTGAGGCTAATAACTCAAGACGTGGCAGCAGCCAGACACCCATCTCGCCGGCCAATCGCAACTTTTTGCTGGGCTACCTCGCATCTGTGTCAGGTACCCAGTAAATCAGTCAAGATGGCATTGTTGCTTTCCAAGCTCTTCGGGACGACTAGAGGCCGTATCAAGAATCATTGTTTGCGGGGCCGGCGCTGCTTTTATCCTGTATCCTTTTGCGTGTTGTCGTTTTCCTTTTTTGTTGTAATTGCGCTGCATTTCGTTGTATCTTTTGTGTTCTTCTCCCGTCCATAGCCTCGCCTAATTATTTTTGGTCGTTTACTGCCAATTGTTTTGTGGCAGTTCTAGCTTGCCGTAGTTATTGCGATTGCTTTGGTTATAGAACCAGCCTTGATACTCCCTTTGCGCGCATGTAAAGCGGCCTTGTTTGTCCCAGTTCTGTCGTGTCTTTTCAATGTAGTATTTCACACCACTTGTGCGAGAGAGAGAGACAGAGAAGATGAAAGAGAAGAGTCACCAAAGCAGAATGCCCGGCAGTTTCATAGAAGATTATGATTATCACTCTTTTGTGCGAGGTGTTCGACTTGGACAACTGTTTTGATTTTGGTGTTTACGAAGTGTATGAATGGGTATCATTTAATAGCAAAACTATACATGAACTGAATCTATGCGCCGTCTCTATGCCAACCCTGCTCCCTTTTTGACCTCAACCCCTCCATCAACCCTCCTTTTCAAACGCGTCATTCAAGTAGCCCACGAAGCTCTCCCGTATGCGAGCCGCCGTCATCTGCCCACCAACACCTTCCAGCCCAATGCCACCCCGGTTGAGGCCCATGTACGCCCGCCGCAGCCGCTGCAGCTGAGCAAGGCCGACCGCCTTGCCGGGCAGCTCGACCACGAGGTCGTCACCTTTCTTCTGCGAGTCGCCGCTCGGTATTCTGACCTCCCCGTTGCCACCCGCCGGCTCCTTCTGCGTCTCCAGAATGCGCTTGACCACGTCTTGCGTCGCCCGGTCCAGCACGTACAAGAAGTCGCCGCCGCCGTCGTTGCCCCGCTGCACCGTCACCTTGTTCGGCTGCACCTCTTTGCGGCCCGCGCCGGCCACAGCGTCCCACAGCTTGTCGAACACGGCGCGCGTCGCGGCGGCGTCGTCGTCCCACGTCAGCGCAAAGAGCGGGCTGTCCCAGCGCGTCATGGGGTTGGGCTCTTCGTAGCGGAAGACGAGGTTGTCCCAGTTGGGGACCGAATACGGTTCGGTGCCGGTACCGGCGGACTGCAGCCGCTCCGCATTAATCTCCCGCGCCCTGTCCACACTGCAGCCAATCTGCAGAACCGCGCTCGTCGTCGACACGTTCTTGGCCTCGCAGGCCAGCTGGTAGCGCCAGCCCTTGATGTAGTTGAGGCCGTCGAGGACGACAATGTCGCGCGGCGACAGGACGCGCTTGACGGCGCCGTAAATGGCAGCGCGGGCATCCTTTTCCGAGGCGTTGGCCGACCGGGTATGGGCAGGCAGAGTGGACAGGTCATAGACGGCGCGCGAGATGGAGAGGGCGTCGTCGGAGATGAGGTGCAAGCGGTACGTTGGCTTTGGTGTGGCGGCGGTGGTCGGCGTGCCGCCTTCCGCAGCCTTGGCCGCCTCGGCCTCAATGCGCTCGGCAAGATAGTCGTAGAGCTGCTTGGCGCGCGTCGACTTGCCGGACGTCGGCAGGCCGGAGAGGATGATGAGCTGTAGTTGGGCGAGGAGACGTTAACACGGGCGTTGACAAGTCGTAAGAGCTGTGACAAAATTGTCGGGCATCGTGTATACGATAACTGGACGTACCGGCATGATTCAATTGCTTGTGTGATGTCGCTGCGACCCTATTGTGGCTGTCGGCAGGATGGCAAAAAGTTTGCGGTTGGAAAGTCGCCTACAAAGGAAGCTATTTAAAAGCTCGGACATCCCCCACTAACAAACGTGCCAAGCACGAGGCAAGAACGAGGCTCTATTTTAGTGGGGCCTTCCCACCTAGCCTATATTGTATGTAAGTCACGTTGGCCAGCTTGATACATTTGAAGAATAGGAGGACGGTGAGCTACAGTTTACTATAGTACTTCATATTCGTTATGTACTCAAGAAGTATTTTAAGCGAATACTTTCTTATTCATTTTTTTCATTATTTTAAAATTAAGTTGTAAATACCGCGAAATTTTTGTAACAAATATGACATCGTATAACGTTTATAACGTGTAAGAATGTGGTGCCTACATTTGGAGTGCCGGAACGGCGATGTCACATTCTATGTAAGGTCTCTTGTAAGAGCTGGTCTTTGATATCTTGTCTCGCTGCCTAGAGCTGGCCTAGGATAATTTCCCACGCCGTATATGAAGTGGACTACCACTGGCTCGCTAGAGTACGATACATAGATGGTCAACAACTTACGCCAAAGGCTACAACAGATTACAAACCACCCTGCGATGCCTATCCGGTGTTACTTCTTTATTAACGGCCTTAAGTACGAAATAAAACTGTGGGGAATAAAAACATAGGGTTTAAAAAAACGAGGACTACTGAAAATTATACACGTAAATACCCGCTCGACGCCACCATATGCTGTAGAAAGCAAAAGCAAAAGACGAAAGAGGATGGTGAAACAAAAGAAACAACATATTACAGTGCAATATTGCACTCCCCACTCCTAATGCCTGTCCACCGAAACATAGGTGTATTGGCCGCGGTCGGAGCTCTGCGCGGAATGCCGACGGGAGCGACCGTCCGAACGAGTCCTAGAATGATGGCCCGAGCTGCTGCGCCGGTGTCCATGCCCATGCCCGCGATCCCGCCCGTCAGACCTCACTCGCCGACCATCTCCGTGAGAATGGCCTCTGCCACCGCCGATCAACCGGTCCCCCGGTTGGGCCCCGGACCTCACTCTCGAGTGACTGTGGTGCTGCTGGTTGTTGTCGTACGAGTTGTCGTAGTAGTATTCGCTGTCGTATGCACCACCACTCGATCCGAATTGTCTAGGTGAGTTGTCGGGGCCGAGGGACCGTCACGCTGACTCGTTCGGCTGCAGCTTGGGGTAGGACGGGCCGTTCTGGCCCTGCTGCGGGTAGGCACCGAGGGGCTGGCCGTTGGTGTCGAAGCGGTTGTTGGCACGCGTGGGGTTGAGGAGCGCGCCGCGCTCGTTGTGCGGGACGTACGGCAGCGTCATGCCAACGACCTCAAAGATGATGGCGGAAATGATCTCCATGATGGTGCACATGCCGAGCACGACGTAGCCGGCGTTGGTGCTGCCGCCAAACTGGTGGAAGTTGGCGCTCGAGGAGTCAAACGCTGACAGGATGGAGTACAAGAGGCGCACAAAGACAAAGGGCAGCGCGACAAGCACGGCCATCAACAGACGCTTCTCGCCGTCGACAATGCTGCTCAGGCAGGTGGTCAGGATGAGCGACGACAAGAGGACCAGCACGTAGCCGACAATCATGAGCGCGATGCCGGCCTTGGTCAACGAGGGGATGGTGTAGGAGATGGGCTGGCCCTTGGACACGGCGTCCTGCACCTGGCTGCTCATGTCAGTGCCGCCGACAATGGACAGGATGAGGCCGACAATGACGACGAGCTGCATCAGTCGCAAGATCTGGGCGTTGGGGATGCTGGGGCGTTTGTGCTCGGGCAGGGCCGTGTAGGTGCGCGTGACGAGGCCGAGCAGCATCAGAATGAGCGGCGAGAGGCCAATTGTCTGCAGGATCGAGGCACCAGTGGCGAGGCTGACGTTGTCGGGCGAGGCAATGGTCGCGAGCTCCATGCTGGCGCCGATAATGCGCATCAGCGACAGAATGACGAGGTAGATCCACCCGGCGCTGCGGCGGATGCCATGGCGGTAGCAGAGGGTGCCGGCAATGAACAGAGACGGCAAAAAGAAGACCAACTGCACGATGGAGATATCGTTGTAGATTGTCAGAGCCATGTTGGACGGTGTGTTCGGAGGATATGTTGATATGGCGATGGGAGGGCAAGGACGAGGTGAGAAGAGGAGAACGCCCTCAAGATCGGTCGAGATGGATTTCAGTCAATAGGGGCGTGTGATGGTGATGATTAAAAGAAAATTTATGAAGAGGAGAATATGTGATGATTATGGAGGATGGGCAGTGGAAATTGAATCTGGAGCTGCTTATAAGTGAATCGGCGACGGGTGATGTGATGGTGACGAGACAAAACCTTTTCAACGAGCAGCCCCTTTTGCTTTATAGTTACGAGCCCACCGTTCCTCGTCGTTCTCGTTCTCTCTTTTGGTTCGTCTCCATTGCCTTTGGCCTCCCTGGAGCTGCCGCATCTTTCATTGCGCCTGGGACCTTGTGAAGATCGACACTCGTCGCACTCGGAGCCACAGCGGCCCACACCAAAACACCATAAGGCTGGCAAGGGCCAGGACCCGAAACGCTGGCCAGGGGAACCAATGGGGGCCGCCAACAGGCCGTGGCTAACTACGGGGGGACCGTTGCACTGGTCACACTAAACCCTTCTGGGTCCGAATGCGCGAACGAGCTTGACACTGAAGAAATTAAAGATGCGACGACAACAGCTGGTCCACTCTTTTGCCTGGCTGGAAACGGGTACAGAACAGGGCCCCATCAAGCGACGTTCCAAAGTCGGAGAAGATGTAGTAGAGTAACTCATTTCATCTGTTTGTTGAACCAAGACTGCCATTGACAGTCTTATTGTCATTGTCAACTCAGTCCAAGTTACTGACAGGGAAGAAGCAACAGTATGTCGCTTCCTGCCAATTCTGAACACAGAGGCACCTCATCTCCAGAGTAAAAGGCAAATCCAACTGACACAGGTCGTAGAATGAATTGCAACGTGAGAAGAAGATCGAGGCGACGTCACGATGGCTTGGCAGGAACGGCACTGGTGAAAGAAGCTTCTTGTCGGCTTGGCGGCGTGTCCGTGCCAGTCCACCCAGTCCAGCCAGTTCAGCAAATTCTACTCCAATGGTCCAATTGCCGATGCCATCCTGGTGTGCCTGTTCGAAAGCCTTGTTGACCAGGAATGACGTATCGTCGATCGTCCTGACGAATCTGCGGTTTCTCTATTATCCCAGGTGGGCGAGACGGCGTGGCTTGGATACCAGCAACGAAAGCGAATTGGGGATAATATCAAGAATGATGAAAGGCACCGTGTCAAAGAAAGGCACGGACCTTTCGCTAAGCGATAAAAGGTTTCAGTTCTCACATATCCTGGGCCACTCTCCGTCGTCTGTTTGCCTTGCCGAAGCTAGTCACGTGAGGCCAGTGGACGGACGCGGCTAGTACCAATTCAGTCACTAAATGCGAATGCGAGCCTCTTTCAGGCTCCGCTAAATGGGTGACCCGAAAAGTGGGCCAGCGGAATGCGATGGGATCCTGCGAAAAACTGCTCATCGTCCAGAGAGGAGACGTCTAAGCCCCCATCTGCATTTCGCGGCAGACTGGAGAAGACGGTACATAAAATGGAGAGGCCGCGCAAGAAATTCAGGCAGCAGGCCAAAATGAGGAGAAAGAGACGAAAAAGGGCCGCCAATACCACCGGGAGAAGAAGAAGAAGAAAGAAGCAACAAAAGCCGATATGCGCGTGGCTATGTTTTGACACCGCCACTGAGCTGTATCGTAGCCCTATGCATACGGCCTTCCCAAAAGAGATCAAACATGCGAATATTCACATCACGTGCAATTTCAGCTCTTGCCGTCAATCAGATCCGATGGCCCCCCCAGGCAGCAACGTCGACAACTGGGGAAGGCACGCGTGGCCCGTCATTCGTGTGCCGCACGTTACTTCCCTTTTCGGCCGCTTGTTGTAAGTCACGATGCCTCTGCTTCCATTGACTGTCGAGTTACCTCGCATGTAGGTTGGAACCCGTCGGTCCATTCTATCGTTATATTCGTCGACTTTCCTTTCTACTAGTCCTCCTTCCACTGTAAAAACGTGTGATGTGGCTTGACGTGGAACAAGAGAAGTCTTTGCAAGGCCGCAGTAATCTAACGCCACGCGGAAAAGGGAAGCCACCACCAAACCTGTCAACCCCAATTGGAACACACAGTCGCTCTTTCCTCAAGAAGTCTTGATGCGACCCGTTCTTTCCAAAAGCTTCCTTCTCAAAACTCGTCCTCCAAAATCTTCATCCCGTCTTGATTTGTTGACTTCGCCCCTTTTTTATATCTCTTTGCCCTCGGGTTATCACTCCTTCATTCACCCTCTTGAACTGGCCGCAGCACTGGCCAACAGAACACGATCAGATTAAGCTTTCTTTTGCGGATCTTGGCGTGTCCAAAACACCGCCACAGCAACTCAACCACACTCGACGTCCCGCATTTATGGTCCACGGCGGTCTCCATCAACGGTCATCTCAGCGGCTTGCCATTGGTCTCGCACAGGTGCCCTGATTAGGAAATGAGCTAAGCAGCCAATCAGAGTACACTTTGTCTGGAGGCTCTTCGACAACCGGCCCTATCCCCGTCCTGCCAAGATGGACTGGTCTCCAATTCTTTTCGACGGCGCGACGACATTGTCAACAAGTGGAAAGGGTGGGAAAGGGGACCAGATGAATTCCGTCTCCCACTCCTTGCTCTCTCCTTCTGAGACGTATTTTCAGGAACTATCCGCAGACATGGGCGAAGTGATGAGGGTTAACATGAGAAACCAGCCCGCTCGGGCGTCACCTTGAACGACGCCATCCTCAAAGATTGGATAAAAACAGGTACCAAAGAAATAGACCACAAGTGACAAACCTACACACGCTTGCGTGGTGTGTCTGTGGCAGTGCCTGTCGGTCCAACGTCTCTTCACACTACCAACTACCCCCCTTTTCTGTGACTCCCTTCCCCTCCTTGGTGTTAGGTTTTCCCTCTTCTCAGCCTCTGGACGCGACTGCATCAGCCCGCGATCAAACACTGCTTCGGATCCTGGCGAATCGCCATCCACTTCCGCCCCCAAGCTCCCCGGTTTCTTCTAGAAGCTGTTTGGTGAACCTATGAAAGAGAGCGATTTTGCATTCTACCTGGTCCGCAGCATCGTCTAGCAAACGCAGCCAAGGAGCCTCAGCCCTATTGTCCTCCCCCATCGGGCAGCTCAGAGACGATCGGCACGCACCAATCCAACGTCTTCTGCGTGCGTGAGCAAGCCAAACGTCTGACAAGGACAGCACATTACAAAAAGGACAAAAGAGGACTAAACAGGCAATAAAGGAACCGGAGCAAATCGCACATGCACTTTTTTCCGTTCTCAAATTTGTCTCGTAAAGACTGCATAGACCAACAGCACTGGGCGGCACAGGCGGTCCTTTGCCAGTCACTCCTTCTTTTTTGCCAATTCACTTTTGCCTGCCTGTTGGAAGGAAAAAGGAGAATAGCAGACGAGCGTGACATATGAACTGCACAATTCGTCTTCCCACGTCTCTGTTTTCATGCCATCCATGAACTTTCGACACACGCTCGACGCAACTGCTGTTCACCACTTCCACGGTGGCATGGGCTGACGGTAAGATACTGGTCGACCGTCACTTCTCGACTGAATCTTACACTCAGCCGCTTACGCAAAGACGACGCGTATTTCTCTCAAACACGCTCATTACAAATTCAATCCTTTTAGACATACGCAAGGATCCCGGCTCCATAGCGTCGCCTTTGGCGTCGACCTCTTCGAAGGCCACTGATTCAACGTCTCCGACGGCTGACCGCCTTCCGATTTTACCATAGTTTTGGTGAACCAACGGAAACAGGTACGTGCGAATAAGGGGCAGTAAGCCCAGCACGGCGGCAAAAATATCAAGGTGCAGCACCTGCAATTATTGCGGTACCCTCAAGTCCACGCAAACAAGGTGACAAGCAGAAGACACAAGACCACACCAGCCAAGCATCTAGCCATCTCAAAGGTTTCCCCGCCCCGTGACAGCACCTTGCGACCGTCAGGCACAGCACATTCCGCACATACGACAGATCTTCGTTGAACACGCTTTATGGTCTAGGCTTTCGAACTTGGAGGCTGTCTTTACTAGTGGTGTGGGAGACAAGCCGCCAATCTTCGCCAAGGTACAATCCAGGTACGACCGAGACAGCATCGACCAACCCAGTATCTTACCAATCTAGGGGTACTCACAACCACCACCACCACTACCACACTCCTGCAGCCACTGGGGCGTAACAGACGCGCCGACGCAAGGCATAGGGCGTGACCCAGACCATAGGCCTACCGAAAGGAGGACTTCCGGTCGCCATAGGGGTGCCAACCTGTCTCAAACCCGTAACCAGCGCGAGATTCAGCCAAACTGCAAGCCCGCAAATTTCCTGAACGGTCGAAACTAAACACTCTCCTTTTTTTCTTCTTTTCCCCTCTATGCCCACCGCCGCCTCGGCTTTGATCAAGACCTTCTCGGGCGGCATTCGATTTTCGTTTATATCTAGGCAGGCCGTCAATCGTTGTTGCCCCCAACTTTTCATCATGGTTTACTGCGGCCCACCTTCAAAAGGCTGTAGCAGTTGTCGTGATCGAAAGATACGCGTGAGTTTGTTCCCCGTCTGCCATAGCTGCCTCTATCCCATTGAATCCAACAGCCCCCATACCTCAGATGCTTTTTTTTTTCATTGATCATCGTCGTTCACCATGGTCTGTATCGTTGTTCGTGCACGACAGAGCTTTGATGTTATTTCTCCCCGGTCTTTCATCGTCATAATTTCCCTCTGTGGCCCTTACTTGTTTCCTCCATATTTCCCCTAACCAAGGTTTCTATTAGTGTGATCAAAGAGAATCCGGCTGTGGCCAGTGCGAAAAACGCCAACAAAAATGCCCCGGCTATCGGAACCAAGTGGATCTCATGTTCCGTGATGAGAGCTCCCATGTCATCCGGAAGGCGCAGGCAAGGCAACGGCGAAAGGCTTCTGCGCGAACACCGGATCCGGTTCCGTCTCCGGACGATGACAGCTCCCCTGCGTATTTGTCATCGTCATCGTCGTCAACTGCCTTCGCCGTACCAAAGACGCCAACGGTACCTTCTACGCCATCCAAGGTTGGCTCTCGGCCAAAATCATTGACTCTGTTGACTCCTGGAATGCATCACAACGGGGCAAACTTTGTCGAAAACAACAAGACGCCAATGCCCCTGACGTTTCTCGAGCCCGAGTCTCTCCAAAACCCACCGCAGTCTCCAAGAGCATCCCCACCAGCACAGTTAAAGGTACAGGCGGATGACGATGACCAACAACGACAACGAACACACCAAACACAGCCCGTACTGGAAATACACCAACAGCAACAGGAGCAGCCACAACAGGAGCAACACCAGCTCATATGGACACGTGACGATACTCTTTTGCCGTCTCCAGATGGTGGCAGTTGGCCAGAAACGCCAATGATTGCACAAATGTACACTATCGAACCCACGAGCCAAGAACGCGGCACCGCCTTTTTCTTTTCTCGCTACGTGACCATGGACGAAAACGTGTCTCATCAGCGGTTCGATTTTCTGTATGATATTTGGAAACCAGGGTCACTCACGGTGGAGCGGCCGTTGGACGGCGTGATGGCGAGCATGACTGCAGTAGGTCTTGTCGGCATCTCACAGTTGACCCATTCGGAGGAGATCATCGACAGTGCACGAAAGAGCTACGGCACTGCACTCTGTTTGACAAATGAGGCCCTCAAAGACCCTCAAGAAGCCATCAAGGACACGACTATGCTGTCCATCTTGATCCTGGGCGTCTTTGAGATGATGGCCGAGCCTGGCCTCAAGACGATGAAAACGTGGCACGATCACATTAACGGTGCTGTGGAGTTGGCGAAACTGCGGGGCGCCAGTCAGTTCCGCTCGCGTGCCGGGATCCGCATGTTTAACATGCTGTGCGAGAGTGTCACAATTTCCTGCATGCAAAGACAGGTGCCCATTCCACCGGCACTGGTCGCTCTGCAGGACGAACTACTAAACACCGTGGTCGAACACGAGCCAGGAGGGTTTGGTGGGATCAACTTGTGGAAGCCAATCTATAAGCTGCTGCAAGCAAGGCACGATGTAGGAACGACCAGTCTCTCCGGCGATCTCGATGAGCTCCTCGCGCGCATGGACGACATCGAAACCGAATTCGACGAGACAATATCCTCCTTCCCTGCAGACTGCTACTACAAGGTGTTCAAGGTGACACGGGCCCACAAGGCTGTGTTCCGCGACGTATGCCACGTCTATCCGAGTGTGGCTTCGGCGTCGGTGTGGAATTGGCTACGAGCAGGGCGCATCTTGGTGTTGGAAACCGTCCTCTCTGCTATCCAGCGGTATTTCCCAGATACTGGTGATGACGGTGAACTGGTGCCGGCCCAGTACATGACAGCGTTCCGGCAGGCCTGGACGAAGCTGGACCGTGTCAACTCGGCCATTGTCGCCAGCATTCCGCAGCACTTTGGTCTGGTCAACCCAGTCAACCCATATTATGATTCACTAAGACCTATGCCGACCGTGGTCCATCCGCTCTCAACGACAGAAGTCCGTGAGCCGCCCACGCCCCCAGAACAGTCGCCGATCTCGTCAGCCGGGTCAGTGCAGACCCCGTCTGTGTACTTTGATGATCGCAGCGACGGTAGCCATGCAGCTCGTGACGATGACGAAGTTGTCTTTGACGACGGTGGTCCCAGCCTCGACAACCCAACACGAGCACGCAATGTTGATGAAGAAGCACAGCGCTTTATGCTTCTGGCTTCGGCGACCAATTCGGCCGTCTGGCCGCTGTTTACCGTGGGCGTCAGCTCCGTCTGCAGCCCCCAGCTCAAGACCTATGTCGTGGCTCGACTGGGCGCCATCTTTGACGAGACAGGGCTTAAGCAAGCTCGGTCGATTGCGTCCATCGTGCGCAACCGCGAACTCATCAAGTCCCCGTGGCTGAAGCTGTTTATGCGAACCAGCAACACAACAATGCCGCCCCCGCCGCCAGTGGCATCACGAAAACCATTCTTGAGTGCTTCTGCAGTGTAACGACAAGGAATGAACATGGACAACAAAACATTTTAAGCTAGACCTCATACATACACAGGATTAAGACGGGAATGATTTGACATGATACATGACATGATATGGATTACATATTGGAACCCTGTGTTGGATTCTTTGTTATTCTCTTTCAACTCTCTTACAGTTAACCCTTTCTGCTCTTCGTTTCGAAATCATCTTTTGGCTTTTTGCATCTAACATTTTTTTTTATTTACTTCGTTGCATATATTCTACAAACGGTTGGATTTTCGTTTTGTAACCTGTTGCATTTGGCTTGATGGAAACGATTTCTTTACTTTTTGATGTCTATAACCTAGAAGCCCACGAACCTAGAAGCCCACGCTTGCCTACCAATACAGTTGTACATTTTTGGATACAATTACACTATGCATGCGTCCAGCGCCCGCCCAAGCTACCAGCTGTCGAAATTGCCAAAGCCGCCTGACTTGGCCTTTTTCCTAACAGGTTCTTCCCACGCTTCTGGCGTTTGTTGCAGACTTGCATCTTCGTCGGCGGCAGCGGCGGCCTGTTGCTGTTGCTGCTGTACCAACGCCTGCTTGAGGTATGTTCCAACTCCCACCGAGCTGCTTCCGCCAGACGCGCCATCGTCGGCCCCGCGCAGCCGCTTGCCGGTCCAGGTCATCTTGTCGTCGTCGGTGCCACCGCGCCGCTGAATGTCTGCCTTTTTCTCTTCCGCCTTGTCCGCCTTGCGCTTCTCCGACAAGAACTCGTCAAACGGGTCCACGTACACAACGACGTCGTGGATCACAATGTCGTCAATGGGCCGGTCGCCCTTGGCCTTGTCCACGGGCGCCGTCTCCATGCGGTCCAGCACGTCCAGCCCGTCCACGACCTGGCCAAAGATGGTGTGCTTGCGGTCGAGGTGCTTTGCGGCGCGGTACGTGATGAAAAACTGGCTCGAGTTGGTGTCCTTGCCCTTGTTGGCCATGCTGACGACGCCGCGCGCGCTGTGCGTCAGCGGGCCCTCGAGCTCGTCCGCAAAGGTCTTGCCCCAGATGCTGGTGCCGCCACGGCCGGTGCCGGTGGGATCGCCGCCCTGGATCATAAAGTTGCGAATGTTGCGGTGGAAGGCGACGTTGCGGTAGTAGCCCGTCTGGGCGAGGCGGACAAAGTTCCAGACGGCCTTGGGGGCGAACTCGGTCTGGAGCGCAATGTTGAGGTGGCCCACGTTGGTCTCGATGCGCGCATAGCCCTTGTTCTTGATGCGCCTGGGCTTGAGCATCCACTCCTCGTCGCTGAGGACGGCGCGCTCGCCGCTCGTCTCGGGCGTCAGGCCCGTGCTGGTGAAACTAGCGGCCGCGCGTCCCGTGGTATAGGTGGCCGCGTTGTAGGCGGGCTTGCGCTGTACGGTGGAGGCAGACTTGTCGGAACGAGATGTATTTGATGTGGTGGTGGTGGTGACGGTGGTAGTGGATGGCGCGGCCAGCGCGCCGTTGCCGCTTCCTGTCCGGGCCACGGCCGTGCTGGCTGACCGGTTCACGTCGGCGCCCGCATCGCGAGCCCGCCGCGCCTTGTCGACGGCCTCTTTGGCTCGCAGCATCTTTTCGCCCATGCGACCCAGCGCGCCCACATTGACGCTGCCGTCGCCGTCCTCGCCGTCGGCGTCGTTGGTGTCCTTCGGGCCGCCCGGCGCCGGCGCTGCCTCTTTGCCGTCCTTGACAAACTGGAACTGGCTCATGTCGCGGCCGGCCATGTTCTGCGGGTCTTGCAGCGTGATAATGTCCTTGCGCGTAAACGGCGCATCGTCCATCAGGTCCAGCCACATTTTGGGCTTGACGTTCATGCGCTCAATCGTGTCCCACGCAAAGACATTGGCATACGTGCCGTGGCGCACGGCCACAATGTGTGTGTTGTCGGAAAAGACCTTGAAGGTGACGGGGTCGATGAGGTCGTGCGAGCCGTCGGCGTCATTGCGCGCAAAGTTGAGCTTGATGAGATCAGACGCCTTCAGCGGTGCGCCGGTCACGGGGTTGGTGCCGGGCTTGGGTTTCTGCTTGTCGAGCCAGGCGGCAATGACTTCGGCGTCAAAGATGGTGCCATCGGGCGTGCACACGGGGTTCTGGAAGGGCTGCAGGCTGGCAGCGCAGTAGTTGAAGGGGAGGCGGCGGAAGGCGGCGCCGTGGTTCGGAAGGGTGGCGAGGCCAGAGCGACCAGCGGCGCCTTTGCTGGCGCCAAAGGAGTCGGCGGACGCCCACTCAGAGTGGGTAATGTAGAGCTTGTCGGTGCCCTTGCCCATGGTTGCAGTGGGAGGGGACGAGGTCGAGAGGATGACTCTGCCGGTGTGTTTTGAGAAGGGCAGAAAAATCAGTTGAAGGATCAGAAATTCAGAATGTGATGTAATGCGGCCGGCGTAGGCGCAATGCGCTAATCGTTCAGGGGTGGGTAAATCGCCGTGGGAAGTCAGCCTAGCGGTGCCGATCACTAACACAGTCTCCAGCCTCAAGGCTGAGATCGAGTCCTTCGAGTCCTTTGAGTCCTACAAAATCCCGGACAGGAAGTATATCTGTTCTTCGTTTCTCTGGGCTCGGACAGTAGGAGTGGAAGAATCTACAATCATCACAAGTTCACTGCCAAAAATGAAGGCATTTTCGAAACTCGCCAACCGGCTGTCTCTCTACAAGAAAGAGTCACCAGAACCGACACCAAACCAACCAACAACGACATCTGCTCAACCATCACCACCGCAAGTTGATGGCCCCATCCACGTCCTGTCTGACCTGCACCTCGAGATCTGCAGCCAGTATTCCACGTTTAAGGTGCCCAAGACAAGCGCAGCCTATCTCATTTTGGCCGGTGACATCGGCCGGCTGGTCGACTATGCGCCGCTCTTGGGATTTCTCGAGGGCCTCGTCTCGTCCTATCGGCGCATCTTTTACGTCCTCGGCAACCATGAGTTCTATACCTTGACCTATGAGAAGGGCCTCTCCGAGGCACACCGGCTCGAAAAGGAGCCCAGCCTGAACGGCAAAGTAACCATCTTGCACCGCACGCGGTGGGACGAGGACGCGCAGGACAGTCCGGTTCCCAGCCTCACGGTCCTTGGCTGCACCCTCTGGACCCATGTCCCGCCCGAGTCCCGCGACGTCGTCGGCCACGCCATTCGCGACTTCCAGTACATCGAGGACTGGACGGTCGACAGTCACAACCAGATGCACAACGAAGAGGTGGCGTGGCTGCGGCAGCAGGTCGCCGCCCTGCGAACCGCAACCACGGCGGCGGCGGCCAAGCGCACCGTCGTCGTCGTAACACACCATGTGCCGACCGTCGAGGGAACGTCACGGCCCAAGTATGCCGGAAGTCTGTGGGCTTCGGCGTTTACGACGGAACTCATCCTTCCAGGCAGCAATACCGGCAATACCGGACATACCGAAGCAGACGGCGGGCGCGTGGCCGATGACACAAAACCGTGGGAAGGCGTCGCGGCATGGATCTATGGCCACACGCACTACAGCAACGACTTTGTGCGCGGCGGCGTCCGGCTCATCGCCAATCAGCGCGGCCCTGTCTTCCCGCCGAACCCCGACATTTTCAAGGCAGAGGATGCTGCCGGTGCTGATAAGACAGGGCAATCAGGAAAGTCCAGCTTCCGCATCATTGAAAGAAAGGCGCACCAGGACGAGGGGAAAGGGCTGCATGCGTTTAACCCGGCGAGAACAATCGCTCTGTAGCTGCTCGGGGATGGAGTGACAGCTGTAATAGGGGAATAAATAATGTATACGGATAAGGGAATCCAATACATGTACGACATAAAAGTAGGGTGCAACGTAGAGGTTAAGGAGAGGTAGCATTCGACGTGCATGAGCTTGGATGAGATACTTTTACAAGGTAGACCATCGTACCTGCCTTGAGTGGCATCTTTTTTGAGCTCCCATAGCAATTGCCTGATCCGGCTGGTGTGCATACGTAACATCTTATCTTATCGGAATCGGTGGTCTTGGAGCCAGCTGTAGGTGATGTAAGGCCCTGTCCGACCGCCTAAAACACGCTAAATGCTACCCCAAATCCCAAGCAGCCCGCTGTACCGCACTGCTGGCGCCTAGCTTTGACAAACTACCGCATTACGCTAGGTGGCCTGGACCCAGTAATACGATGCGAGGCCTGAGCTGAGCAGCCCAAGAAGGACAGCACTGCGCACTTTCTTGTTCCATCTTTCCAGCACCCGCCGCCGAGACGCTTTTGTCTTTGCATCGAATTTCTCTTTCCGACCTCCTTGACAGTTTATTTCCGTTTTGCTGCCTCGCCGCACTCGTGTTGTCGATTGCATTGTCTCCATCGAATCCGAGAGTCTGCGCATAGGACTGGCTGCCATTGCCGACGCTGCCGCATCCGCCCGCCTGCACCCCCTGTTTGCGTTCCTTCGAAACTCTCGACGCTCCATTCTCCTCAACACGCCTTTGCTTCTCGACGCAGTCGCCATCTCGAGCACCGCTTCCTCTCCTGATTGACGTGTGCGATCACCAAAGAGCCGCCGACGATGGCTCGATGGCTGTCCCGGATGCTGGCGCTGTTTGCGCTGGCATTGTGGACGGCAACGGTGGTGGAAGCCTTTGAAGAACGAATCGTACGTGGACGCCCGGGGTTCCTGTTTCTTGTGTTTCTTGTCCGACCGTCGTCGAATGTAGCTGACAGTATGCGTTCACAGAACCAACAGGAAGACAATCGGCAACGATGCGCTGGTAAGTTTGCCGTGGCGACGATGGACGACGTCGGCCCATGGCCAGACCACAACCGCTAACATCGCCAGGCATGTACAGCCGCAGCTCGTGGGGTGGCGCCGTCGACCCCTTCATCCTCGTCAAGTTCGACTCGTACGACGGCCCCGTGGACCCCATTGTCAGCCTGCTCATCTTTGAGTGGCGCGACGAGCCCTTTATCGGCGACCAGCCCGACCCGTCCAAGCCCAAGATCATCATCTGCGAGCCCCAGTACGTCAAGCTCGGCTACTGCAACGCGACGAGCGTCGGCGAGTTTGTCCTCCAGCCCAACACCACCGAGAAGTCCAACAACCTGGTCTTCACAAAGGCCGTCGACATCAAGAACGCCGAGCCCGTCAACTACTCCATCAAGAAGACCGGCTACTACTGCGTCGTCACGGCGCCCTTCCAGGCCACCGACTACGGCGCCGTCATCGAGTTCCGCAACGCGTACGGCGAGCTGCCCGCCACCCAGATTCCCAAGCTGCCGTTCTACGGCGGCATCACCATCCTCTATGCCGTCGTGGCCGTCTTCTGGGGCTTCCTGTACTACCAGCACCGCGCCGACATCCTGGCCGTCCAGAACTACATCACGGCCATTTTGATCTTCCTCGTCTTTGAGATGCTCATGACCTGGGGCTTCTACGACTTCTTGAACCGCCACGGCGCGAACATTGGCTCCAAAGTGCTGCTCGTCGTCGTGGCCGTCCTCAACGCCTTCCGCAACTCCTTCTCCTTCTTCTTGCTGCTGATCGTGTGCATGGGCTACGGCGTCGTCAAGTCCTCGCTGGGCCGTGTGATGTGGTACGTGCGCATCCTGGCCGTCGCCCACTTCGTGTTCGGGCTGGTGTATGCCATTACGAGTCTGCTGGTCACGCCCGACGCCGCGGGCCCGTATGTGTTGCTGATTATCCTGCCGCTCGCGGGCACGCTCACGGCCTTTTACGTCTGGACGCTCAACTCGCTCAACTTTACCCTCAAGGACCTGCGCGAGCGCAAGCAGCACGCCAAGGAGACCATGTACAAGAAGCTGTGGTGGTGCATCCTGCTCAGCATCATCACGCTCTTCTCCTTCTTCTTCTTCAACAGCTTCTCGTTCGCCTCGTCCAGCGACCCGGACTTTGTGCCCTTCCACTGGAAGACGCGCTGGTTTGTGCTGGACGGCTGGATGAACCTCGTGTACTTTGCCGACGTCGCCTTTGTGGCCTACGTCTGGCGGCCGACGGCCAACAACCGCCGGTTCGCCATGAGCGACGAGATTGCCCAGGACGACGACGGGACCTTTGAGATTGCCAACATGGACATTGGCGTGCCGGACGACTTTGACGAGGACGACGACTACGACGACGATGGCCAGCTGAAGCCGAATGCGGGCGGCCGCAACGGCAGTGGTGCCGGTCCCGGCGACCGGGCGGGCGTTGCGGGCGCCGAGGAGGCGAACCTGGGTGGCAGCAGCAGCAGCAGCAACAACAACAACAACGCGGCCGCCTCGTCCAATACAGGCAGCAGCCGACCGGCCCAGCCGCCGCAACCAATACCAAAGTCCAACCCGCTGCAGCGCGCCTCGTCATCTGCGTCGGCCTCCAAGTCGTCGACCAAGCCCGCGCACCAGCGCGACTCGCTGGACGATGACGATACCATATTTGCTGTGGGTGACGGTGACAAGTTCTCGGATGACGACGACGAGGGATCCGGTGAGGAGTCCGGCCTGGTAAAAAATAAGAAGTAATCGGTGGACACTCGAGACGGACGAAGGATACCATTTAAATAAGGTCAAGGGTCCGTTCGCTTTCAAATGATGTATTTGAAAACAAAGAGGAGGACAATGCGGGATCGGACACTTGTTCAGGCTTGCGAGCCTTCCGTATATTGTAAAATACTGCACAATTTTGGCACAACGTTGGTTATGATGTCTAGTTTTTCTTTGGTTGTACAATCTACCTTCCGTTCATATATGACAAAGCACCCTACTGCACGACATCGCCGCCAAAGCCGACCGGCCGCCGCCGACCGCTGTTCTCCGGCAGAATCGCCAGCGCCTTGTACACCTTGCCCATGCCGTTCGGCCCGCGATCCACCAGCCGCTGCCATGACCGTTCAATGTCGGCGGCTGCTGTTTTGGCTGTTTTGGCTGCTTTGGCTTCCTTGGCGTCTTTGTCATTCGCGCCGCCGTCCTGGCCCAGGCCCGCCGTCTTGGCCAGCGCCTGTGCCCGCTCCCGGATGCCCATGCTCAGCAAGAAATCCGCCTGCTCCACCGGCCCGTGCACCTCGACGCCCTCGCTCGCATGCGTCGCCACCTCCGCAATCGCCTCAAAGTCGACGTCCGCGCTCAGGTCGGTCAGGCCCGGCTCCGCAAACGGACTCACCAGCTGGTGCTGCCGGATGCCCCGCAGCGAGTTGACCGGGATCGACCCGTCGCCCGGGCCGTAGTCCAGAATCAGCGCGGCGCCCGCCGGCTTTGCTTTGGGGTGCGCGGCGGTGCCGCCGATGCGCGCTGCAAACTCGGCCGCGTACAGCGCCGCGTCCGGGCAGACCTCGATGATGGCGCCGCCCTGGGGCATGCGCTCGAGCAAAGCACGGTAGCGGGGCGACATGGCGGGCAGGTAGTGGGAGTGGCGGGTTTCGCCGGGTGCGAGCGTCAGCTGGAAGTCCGGGACGGGGCTGGTGTCGTTGCTGGCCTCTGCGTGCTGCGGGCGCTGCGACCGCGGTGTGCCCAAGCTCTCGTGGGTCGAGCCTGGCGGCGTGGGCGTGACGACCATTTCGCGCCACTGCAGGGGCGAGGCGGACTTGGCACTCTGCGAGGGATGTCCCGTGCGGACCGTGACGGAGGGCGACGGCTGCGATGGCTGCGATGGCTGCGACGGGTTCTCCTCGCTGGCCGCCGGCGGCACGACGACCGACTGGAATGTGTGGATGGGCAATGCGTCAAAGAACTCGTGGGCCACAATCAGAGGTATGGTATCGGGGCCTGTAGGTCAGCAACAAGCAGATCCTTCACTACGTTGCTCGGGGCATATTGATGGACTCACTCTTGGGGATCGACTGGATCGTCTCGGTCCAGACAATCGGCACGCCGTGCTTGCCCACGCCGCGGTAGCCAACCTTGGACTCCGTCAGCTCGGCGTCCGGCCCGCACAGCAGGTTCTTCTGGGCCGCCCGCAGCTGTGCGCTCGCCTCCACCATGTACACCGCCTCCAGGCTCTTGGCCAGCCCAAAGTGCCGGATCGTCCGCAGAATGTCGTCCATCAGCGTGCCGCGACCGGGCCCGACCTCAATGAGCTCGACACCCGCGGCCGGCCGGCCCTGCGCCATCCACTCGGCCACAAACCAGATGCCCACCAGCTCGCCAAACACCTGCGACACCTCGGGCGATGTGACAAAGTCACCCGTGCGGCCAAATGGGTCCCGGCCGGTGTCGGCCAGGGCGCCGGTGTAGTAGCCGCCAATGTCCGATGTCAGGCACATGCGCATGAAGCTTGCGAGTGGTATCGGCCCTGTGATGGATATGGCGTCGGCCAGCTGTTTGGCCAACGGCGTAGACCATTTGCGCTCCTCGCTCTCATTCTCGTCTCGGCGGATGGGAGAAGATGAAAGTTGTCTCCGTTGGCGGTAGGCCTGGCGGCTGTGTGGTGCAAGAAGAGCAGGTACACCGGTGGTTCTCGTCTGCCATGGCCTTGTTATACTCAATTGACAGCATGGCCTCAACAGCCGGCGCGCTGAGGCGGCGTGGCGCATCGACCTCATTTTACCAAGATCAAAAATGTTATGTTCTTGTCGGGCTCATGAGTCCATTGCTGGTCGGCTCAAAAAAGTCAGCACATCTTTCACTTCTTCGTCGAAGCTTTGGGTAACGAGGCAGCATACCAGCATCAAAAAATAATATCTTGGCTTAATCTGAAAATCAAATGGAGAGTCCAACCATAGAGCCTTATGTCGATGTACGACGGAGGTTCTAAACTGGCGCTGAAGTCGCTCGGCGAGGCTCTCGAAATGATGTGGGTCAACTGGGACTAGAAGCTCTGATTGGCTGATTAGGCCATCTTTTGCGAATTCAACTGGGAAACAACGACCGGCGCCTTGCAACGTCATTTTCAAACTTTTGGCGACTACAGCAAGCGAGCTTTGCGCCTTCTCTTTTCTACACAGACAGCGCCTCTTCAAATTGAACCTTCCCTCAGGCTCCACTTCGATATCGACTCTCCCAATTCACAAATCGAACGAATACACCACGTTACAATACGTTCACAGTTACAGGCACAAACACACCCTAGACGCGCCTCCAACCATGGCCAGCGCGGCAAAGTCGCGCTGGGCCGACGCAGAAGAGGATGCAGCCTTTGAGGAGAAGCGTCGGAGAGACAAGGAGAAGAAGGAAGAAAAGAAGCGGTTAAAGGCGATCGAGAAGGCCAAAAAGGAGGCCGCCGAAGCGGCACAGAAAGCAGCAGCAGCAACCACAGCAGCACAACGCCAACAGGACGACGACAGAGACGATGGTGTGGACGGCGACGGTCGCCCATTGAAACGGCGAAAATACACACCCGAGCGCGACGACGGCCGGCGAGCGCCGCCACCACAAGGCGCCCGCAAAGAACGAAGCGACATCACAACCGCCCCCGAAGGCCGTCTTTTGCGGCTGAGCGGCGGCGCCCTCCCCGACCCGTGCCGCAGCGTTGAGCGCTACGACAAGCTCAACGACATTGAAGAAGGCGCCTACGGCTGGGTGGCGCGGGCCAAGGACCGGGCGACGGGCGAGGTGGTGGCCCTGAAACGGCTCAAGCTGGACCCGCACGACCGCAGCGGCGTGCCCGTCACGGGCCTGCGGGAGATCCAGCTGCTCAAAGACTGCGCGCACCGCAATGTCGTGGCGCTGCGCGAGGTGGTCGTCGGCGACCGGCGGCCCATTGACAACATTTTGCTGGTGCTCGAGTTTGTCGAGCACGACGTGAAGAGCATCCTGGAAGACATGCCGCAGCCCTTTTTGGCGTCCGAGGTCAAGACGCTGCTGCGGCAGCTGGCGGCGGGCGTGGCGTACCTGCACGGCCGCTGGATCCTGCACCGGGACCTCAAGACGTCCAACCTGCTGCTCAACAACCGCGGGCAGCTCAAGATTGCCGACTTTGGCATGGCCCGGTACTACAGCGAGGAGGCCGGCACGTCGTCGTCGTCGTCGTCGGCCGGCTGCCACCTCACGCCCCTCGTGGTCACGCTGTGGTACCGCGCCCCCGAGCTGCTGCTGGGCGCCCGGCGCTACGGCCGCGCCGTCGACCTGTGGAGCGTCGGCTGCATCTTTGGCGAGCTGCTGACGCGCGAGCCGCTGCTGCAGGGCAAGAACGAGGCCGACGAGCTGAAGCGCATCTTTGACCTGTGCGGCGTGCCGACGGACGCCACGTGGCCCGGGTTTCGGAGGCTGCCCAACGCACGCGCCCTGCGGCTCCCGTCGTCACCCTCCACAACAACAACAACAACAGCGGCGGCGGCACAGCAGTCCACGTCGGCCGCCATCCGCGCCAAGTTCCCGCTCCTCACGACGGCCGGCTGCCACTTGCTGTCGTCGCTGCTGTCCCTCGACCCGGCCAAACGGCCGACGGCCGACGAGATGCTGGACCACGAGTACTTCCGGCAGGACCCGCGGGCCAAACAAGAGGCCATGTTCCCGACGTTTCCGAGCAAGGCGGGCCAAGAGCGGCGGCGGCGGCGGGACACGCCGAATGCGCCGCAGCGCGGGGCGGCCGTGGCAGACCTGGGGGCCGTGGACTTTACGGGCATCTTTGGCGGGCGCGACAAAGAAGAACGCGGCGCCGGGTTCTCATTACGAATGGTATAGGCAGATTGTGCGATTGTACGGACTACATAGGTACACTCATGCCAGATCAATTGTAATGCAGTGGTATTCATTACGCTGAGCTAAATAGCTATCAAAAAAGAGTAGACCAAGAGAAGATAGAAAACAGACGGAGAGAGTGTGAGCTCATGAACCAATGCCGCCCGATGCAATACACGTGAGAAGAAGAAGAAAGAGAAAAAAGAGAGAAAGACGGAGAAATAGTAACCAAAAGCAGCGTCTCGCAGAAACCTCCGTAAACATTTTGTACCCCATAGATCCCGATACACCGAGCGATGTCAACCCAAAATAAAATAGAATAAAAATTACAAGAAGCATACAATGTCAACGCCGGAAGTCAAGCACTTGAATGTGCAAAGGAGACGGTATGGAAGAGGACGAGGAATCAGGTGAGAAGGCGTTGGGCGAGCAAGCCCGTTTCACATGACAATTAAGTCCAGTCCCAACGAGCGTCGTGGGTTCTTCGTTGTTTAGAATCGATCGCTGCCTATAGAGCCACGTGCATGCCCGTCACAAACCACGTAAAGCTGAGGACGGTGATGATGCTCATGGTCAGAGCAAAGCCGAGGGCGCGTCGCTCCGTGTCCGACAGGGCGCCGCTGCATGTGGCACACATCCAGCCCTCGGACAGCGGCGTGTAGGACTGCGGCGCATACATGCCAAAGGTGAAGCCATCGTAGGTGTCCAGGTAGCCGGCCTCGGCGGTGGCGCTGACACTGCTCTCGGCATCGTAGATGATGAGGGTGTACTGCTCGGTCAGCAGCGGCGAGGCAACGTTGCTGCTCTGGTAGGCGCCAGTGTCCCAGGTGTACGAGCCCAGCGTCTGAAAGGTCATGTTCTGGGTCAGGGTGAAGGTGCGCGTAGCGAAGCTGCACGAGGCCAGGACGTCAATGGCTGTGGGGGTGGCCTGCAGGCCGGTGTAGTTCCAGGCCCAAGTGACGAAATCGCCAATTTTGTACAGCTGCATGTTGGCCGTGGTGGCAGGGGTGACCATGACGACACCGCCGGCCGGGTCGACGGGGTTGAACGTAGTGTGGGTGGCCTCGGTCGTCTTGTTGAGGGTGGCCGTGTTGCCATTCTTGTCGGTGGGGGTGACCTTGGCCGTGTCCTTGCCGGTGGTCGTCTTACCGCCCTTGGTCGCGGTCGTGGTTGTCGATGTCTCCTGGGCACCGGTGTTGAGGTTGAATGTGTTGTCGGCACTGGGGCCGGGGGTCTGGGCCGGAGGGGTAGATGCTGCTACGACAAAGTTAGTGATCTGACAAGGTATACCCTCCAACGTAGGTTCTTGTTTACTTCTGGAACTCACTCGTTTTTGTGGTATCGGCACGACGGACGACAAAGGCGTCGAGGTTCAGTGGAGACCATGAGAAGGCGGATGTGACGGTGGACATGGAAAGGAGAGCAAAGGCCACACGGCCAAGAGACTGTGACGGCTTCATCTTGATCGTGGAGGACGTCGACGGTCAGATCTGTCGGCTCAGAAGATAGGGTTGGGCGAAGAAGAGCGAAAGGGTCGACACGATCGAGATAGCCAAGTCAAGTATGCGTGAAACAAAAGCAAACCCAAAAATGGACTTCAAAAAGGTTGAAAAGGAGGCAGCTCTTGCAGCTGCGGTAACGAGCAGGGTCCAGGGAAGAGCGAGGAGGGTATGGCGACGTGGGCGATGCAGATGAAGTAACGGCTCGGTTCTGTTGCACGAGAAACGCAGACAACGTACAGAGATGACATGCAAAGGCCGCAGTTCGCACGGGGGATGGACCACGCGTGGAGCACTGGAGCACTGGAGCACTGAAGACGCAGTACGACAGAGTAATGTTGTTGTTCGTCGATTTGTTCGGTGAGATGCTGTGCAATGCCTTTTTCTGTGGTTGCAAGTGGCGCACGAGGAATGCAGGCGGTGGAGCGAGTGAAGACGTTGCAAATTCCAAAGGAGCAACAAACAACAAAACAACGGATTACGTGAATAGGAGGGAGGCCGAAGCAAAAATCGAAAAAAAAGGGCGTCCGCTGAAACGAGTGGCGGGACGTGGCTGAAATGAAAAACAAAAGAAGAACCAAGAAGAACCAAGCGAATGTGGTGTGCCGTCGCGAGATGGAGGAACGATTGAGTGGTATGGAACGAGAGTTGAAGAAACGAAGCAGACAAAAATAAAACGAAGAAATTGGGCGACTGAAAATTGGGTGGAGGAACGGGAATCGACACGATGAGAGGCAACGACGAAGAGGGGACCAGGGGGGCACAGGACGAGGGAAGGAGCGGCGACCGTGAGAGTGGAGTTGAGGCAAGTGCAGGTAAGAACCAGAACCACCAACAAGCAAAGGGGTGGAACAATAAGAAAAACAATAAATAGAAACACGCAGCAGCGCTAGGCCGAGAAAATGGAGGGCAAGACCACAGCATGCAGCTGCCTTGATTGGCCGGGAGAGCGCGACAATGTCCCCCGTATTAGGGGGATCGGGGCTAAAATCCGTGCCCACAGCGAGAAAAATAAAGAATAGGGGAGAGATGCCGCACGATAGGGGTGTTGTCCCCTGTAAGAGTGCAGTAAGTCTTATATTCAGACGCAGAGAGCTACGGGGATTCTGCGTCCTGGACAGGGACCAAAGTGAGGCCTGGCCAAAGAGCATACAAAGTAAACAGGAAACGCGACCCAGTTGTTCTCGGCCAGCTCAGACGTCCAGGCAGGTCCAGGCCCCAAGAAACCAGGCAACCAGGCCAGATCTGGCCTTCTCACGCCCACCGCGCTGTGACCTCGTATCAGCCACCGTGTGACATTTGTGTCCAAACGGGTTGGCTGCTGTGTCCAGGGCAAAAATACATTGCTCGTATCCGCGCCATAGCCTCGTATTCTGTCCCGCTCTGTCCAGAAAACCTGACGATGGACACACGCAGCCCGTTTT